TGCTATCGCATCTCGCTCAGCCATCTGGGGACCCCAGTGAGCCCGCACCAAAGGTAACTCCGGCGAAAGGTCCCTCTTACGTTCAGCCGATGCTCCCAGGATGCCGCCCCGGGTTGCGCTCTGACTCGGATTTTAAAAGGCGGGTCCGGCCGTGGCGGCGGGAGGCTCCCACGAGGCCCACGCAGGCGAAAAAACGAGGGAAAAGGGTACCCTCAGAAAGTCTTTAGCACCCCCCCCCCGCAAGGACGGGCAACGCATTATTTGCCGGGGGCTGACTGAAGTTTGCCGGCGCCCAGAGGTAACCGTCAGGCAATTCTTCCGCCGCCGCCGCCGACGAGCACGAGCACGGGCACGATCACGAGCACGAGAAGGAGGACGCGAACGGGGAAGAGGACGAGGACGAGGACGAGCACGAGGACGAGGACAAGGACGAGCACGAGGACGACTATTACTACTACTGCTGCTACGACGCCTCCTGCCACTGCTCTTACGACGAGCGCCACTGCGACTACGAAAAACGACTTGGAGGCGTGCGAACTTGTACACCAAAAATTGTACGAACAGTCGCTGCATTTCTCTCTCGTGCATGGTCCAAGGAAGGTGATCCGCCTGGAGAAACAAGCACCTGACATAATCCAATACGGCACTCGCTAGTGGGAACATTATTCCGGGGAGGGGAGAGAGGGGACGGGGGGAAAGGAAGATGAATAGGAGGAGGAAAAGAAGGAGGAAGGGGATAGGGGGAGGGGGAGGGGGACAAGCTAGGTGCGCTCGCGTCAACATCTGACATCCTACCCCTCCCTCCCATCCCTTCCCATTGAGCTACTTCATTGTCCTCTCACCGAATCGGGCTTCGCATCTGACCCTGTTACCTAAGAGGGAAAGGAGGAGGACGACGGCGCGATGAAAACGAAGACGACGACGACGAAGACGACGACGACGACGACGACAACCACGACGACGACGACGACGGCGGCGACGACGACGACGACGACGATGAGGACGACCGGCGACGAAGACGACGACGACGACGACGACGCGACCGCGCCGGAGCGGCACCCGCGCCAGCTGCCCGCTGCCGTTACGCGCAACATTCTGAAGGACCGGAAAGACTCGGATTTTCAAAAACATAGATGAAAACCAAACTCCCGGGAATCCTGTGCGGAAAAGGACGCCGCCCAAAAGGGGGGGGGGGGCTTTCTGCGGCCCCAAAAATCAACGAATCGACACCGGATGTGTAATCACCTCCAATGTTTTTGCCGGGGATCATTTTCTAGATTTGGGGCTTCTTAAAAAGGATCGAAAACGTCGGCGCTGCAGCGGGAGCACGTTTTGGAACAACGAGAGGCGCAGAAATTGGGCCAGCGCTGCAGCGGGAGCACGATTCGGAACGAGCGGGAGCGCGGAAATGAGGCCAGCGCTGCAGCGGGAACACGATTCGGAAGGAGCGGGAGCCCGAAAATTAGGCCAGCGCCTCAGCGAGAGCAGCATTTTAGAACAAAAAAACACAAGCGAAAACCCAACTCCGGGGAATCCTGTGTGTAAAAAAACAGTACGCGGGGGGGTGCCGAACATCTTCCGGACGCCATCAGGGGAAGTGGGAGAGTAGTATTCATATTGTGTAATTGTAGAAGGAGGAGGAGGTGGAGGAGGAGAGAAGGGGGGGAGGAGGGAGGAGGAGGAGGAGGAGGAGGAGGAGGAGGAGGAGGAGGAGGAGGAGGAGGAGGAGGAGGAGGAGGAGGAGGGAGGAGGAGGAGGGGAGGGAGGAGGACGAGGAGGAGGAAGAAGGAGGAGGCCATCAGGATCTCGCCCAGGCCCAGCAGGAGGCTGAGGCCAAAGAGCGTGCCCGCGTGCTCGAAGCTGATGCCAAGGGTCGCGCCCGTCTGCTCGAGGCGTTCTCGCAGTGCTCCAGCCCGTCGTGCACTGCTGCGGCGGGCACAGGCTCTGGACGCCCGAGATGGGCACGGAAATCATGGGAATGATGCCCAACAGCAGTTCCTGTTCCCTCTGAGCTGGGTTCGCTGTCCTCGCCGCCGCGGCCTTTGTCTTTTTTGCGTTTGCTGGCCGCCTGCCCTACAGCGGCCGCTGTGGGTTTTTGTGTCTGCCTTTGTTGTTGGGCATTGTTCCCATTCTTTCGGTACCTATCTCGGGTGTCCAAACAGGCGGGACCCAACCCAGCGGCAGCGGGCCGGCGGGGCCAGATGCCGGTGCGGCCCTCGTGCCTCCCACTGGTGCCCCTGCGCAGGTGGATCCTGAGGCGGAGACTGTCCCAGGCCTCCCTGGTCTCCCCGCCGAGTCTGCAATGACCCCTGGCCGTGTGCCGGCCGAGCCAGCAGCGGTCCCCGTGCCGCCGCCGCCGGTCTTCGGGGCCTTCCTGAACGCCGCTGCTCTGCCCTCGTCCAGCTCGTCGTCGTCGTCGTCGTCGGCGGCGCCTGGCTCGCCTCTGTCACCGGCGCCTCCGGCTTCGCCTGGCGCCCCGCACTGCAGCGGCGACGCGGCATGCAGCGAGGGGCCTCTCAGCTCACTGCTGGCGGCGGCAGCTGCGCGCACTTTGCCCTCGCACCCTGGCGTCTGCAACTCGGCCTACTCGCCGGCGCTCCTGGCCGCGGTCGGCCTCCTACCGGCAGAGACCTTGGCAGGCTGGCTCGCCCATGCGTCCATGGGTCCGCCCTTCGCTGGCCTGGTGCAAGAGCTCGTGGGAGCATCGGCGGCGCCCTCCTCGGATCACGTTTTTGCTCTGCAGTCCTTGGCTGCCGCCGCGCCCGGGCACGCCGCGCCTGCGGCCTTGGCGGCCGCTGCCCTCCTCGGGCGGCTGGCGCGCCCCGTGGGCCTTGCAGAGGTGGTCCACACCCTCCTGCTCGGGGCCAATTACCTGGACCCCTTGGTCGCCGAGGCCTTGGCGGCGGTGTACGGGGGCTCTGCACAGGGTGCCGCTGCTGCCCTCCGTGCCGCAAGTCTGCGCTGGGCTGCGGGCGCAGCGGGCGGCAGCTCGAGCGGTTCTGCGGGGGCCAGCCCGGGCCTGGCACCGGCGTCGCAGGCCGCTCCCCCGTGGCGCAATCCGCCCGCCGCCCCTCCGCCTCTGGGCGGCCCCGCTGCGTCCTCCTCTGGCCCGCCGCCTGCGTCGCTGGGGATGCCCGCGCCCCAGCCTCTTCCGCCTGCGCCGGCCAGTTCCGGGCGGCCGTGCTGCCCGCCCCCGTCGTCTGGCCCCCCGCCGGCGGCGCCCGTGCTGCCTTCGCCCAGCGGCCCGCCCTCATCGTCCGTCTCCTTGCCGGTGGCGCAGGCGCAGCACCAGCCCCAGCAGCCTCCCGCGCCTTCCGGCTCTTCGCGGCGCTACGCCGGCGCTGACCCCGGTAGCGCCCGCTTCCGCCGCGGGCTCCCTGCGCGTGCTGACGGGCGCGCGCTCACAGAGCAAGAGGTCCTTCAGTTGGCTGCCGCCTGCGGGCTCTACACCGACTCCCGCCAGGCATTCTGGCTCTTTGGCACCAGCGGGGCCCGGATCGGCTTGGCGCTCCGTCCGCTCGGCGGCGGCGGGGTGATCAATTTTTGGCTCCGGCAAGCCAAATTGACCATCGCCGGCAACACGGAGGTCCGAGAGCGGCTCCTCGAAGCAGTGCTTGCGTGGACCGTCCCCTGGGTTGGGAACCAGCCCCGGCCCCACGCCGCCGCGGCGCCTCCGCCCCCGCCCAGCGCTCTGGGCGCGCCGCCCGCGCTGGCCCTCCACGCTCCTGCTGCCGCCACGGGCCTGGCCGCCGCTGCCCCTCCGACGGCTGCTGCTGCTGCCACCCCGGCCGGGGCCTCCCGCCGCCGCCGCCGCCGCCGCCGCCGCCGCCGCCTCCGCCGCCTCCGCCGCCGCCGCCGCCGTCGCCGCCGCCGCCGCTGCTGCCGCCGCCGCCGCCGCCGCCGTCGCCGCCTTTTGTCGTCGTCGTCGTCGTCGTCGTCGTCGTCGTCGTTGTCGTCGTCGTCGCCCTGAGGCTGCGGGGGCGCCCCCGGCCGCTGCCTCCCGCCGCCGCCGCCGCCCCCGCCTGAGCTCCTCCTGCCGCTCCCGGAGCGCAGAGCGCGGCCGCCGGCCCCGGGGCTAGCCGCGCGCGCCCCGGGCACTCGCTTCCTTTTTTCGCTTCTGGAAATGCGCGTTGCGTGTCCCTTGGCTGTCGTCGTCGTCGCTGCGTTCGCCGCCGCTGTCGCCGTCGTTGTCGTCTTCGTCGCCGTCGCCTTCGTCTTCGTCGCCCTCGCCGTCGTCGTCGTCGTCGCCGTTGCTTCTCGTCGGCGTCGCCCTCGTCGTCTCCTGTCGTCGCCGTCGTCCTGTCGCCCTCCCTGCTGCCCCCCCCCCGGGGCGTCTCCTCCCGCCGCCCTCCTCCCTCTCCCCTTTTCCCTCGCCTGGCTGGTGGTGGTGGAGCTGTGGCGGGGTGGTGGAGGACGACGAGGTTCCCTGTTTCGTTGCCGCCAATTGGCAGCACGCGCACTCGCGCTCGCGCACTGGCGCTCCGCCATTTGGTGGCGTGGCAGGCGCGGCTCCCAGGGGGCCCCTATAACTGTCTCGCATGAAGCGACACCCGGCCCCCCTGGGAGCGGGCACGCGCGCCGGGCACTTGCCCCACTGCCAGCGCCCTACTCGGGACTGCTCATGCCTGCCCTTTGCCCGGGGCTTCGGCACCAACGCGCCCCACTGGGTGCGCCTCAACCAGAACCAGAACCAGGAGGAGGAGGGAGGAGGAGGAGGAGGAGGAGGAGAGGAGGAGGAGGAGGAGGAGGAGGAGGAGGAGGAGGAGGAGGAGGAGGGAGGAGGAGGAGGGGGGGGAGGAGGAGGGGGAGGAGGAGGTGAAGGGGGAGGAGGGGGAGGAGGAGGAGGGAAAGGAGGAGGGGGAGGAGGAAGAGGAGGAGGAGGAGGAGGAGGAGGAGGAGGAGGAGGAGGAGGAGGAAGAAGAGGAGGAGGAGGAGGGGGAGGGGGAGCATGAGCCGACATCGGCATCTAACAAGACCGATCGCATCCCAAGGGGGCCCCGCCTCCGTGTAGTACGGGAACTTCTCCACTGCGAGGCGGCGCCACACGGAGAAGAGGGCCCAGTACAGGGGCAGCGTGAGCAGCACGGGCAGGCAACCTGACGCAGAAGCGCGGGCGCGAAGACGAGGAATCGCCCAAACACCATTCAACGCGCGCCCTTCAAACCACCCCCGAGGAGGAGGGCGAGATGAGGGCAGCCCGCGCTACGACCTCGCGGCCGCCACCGGCCAACCAAAACCACTATTTCGCGGGCGCGCAAACATGGATACGAGCTATCCGTGGATCTGGCGCGCGGTCGCCAACTCTCCATGGATCGGGGGAGGGGCCCTCCCGGCAAGGCGGCCGGTGCCGCCTCGCTCGGCGGTGGAACTATGCGATGCCCCATGGACACGGGGCCCGTCGCTTATCCACGCACCCTTGAAATCCATGTTTACGATCGCCTGATAAAACGCACGTGACCGGCCACGCCCCCCCCCCCTCCCCCCCTCGTCGTCGCGTCACGATTCGCGCTGGCGCCGCCTGGGAAGCAGCCATCCCGTGGCATTCCTGGACAACGCCTGCGCGAGTCGTGACGGAACTGCCCCGCCCCTGGGTCACGCCCACTCCTGCCAGGGGACAAAACCACGGGCCTTCTGCCGTGAGGCGAAGGAAGGAGATCTCTGCGAGAGGGCCAGTCTGGAGGGCGCGTCGGGCGCCGCGGCCGTCCCAACGCGTTGAAACGTCCTGGAAAGCACTGGAAAGGCTGACCCTCGACCCAAGCCGGTCGGGGATCTTCTGACCCGGGTCGATGCAGGCCCGGGTCAGCAGGAAACCAGAACACTGCAGTGCAGGAACAAACAACAATGCCACGCGGGGCTTGGCACGACTGGGTCAGCCAACCTGCGCGGCCGCCTCGCGGTCACGAGCGGCTGGCTAACCCAGGCCAGCCAAAAAGGGTCTTCGCAGGACCCTGCAGGATCCGGTGCCCTTGCCGACCCGCTTTTGCCCTGACCCCCGTCTCTCAAGCTCAAACTGGCTTTGAGGGCGGGCCTGGGCGGGGCGGCAGGGCCGTCGTACAGGGCAGTTTTTGATACATAGGGTTTTCTTTTTTAAGTATATGATTCCAATACATGGTTAACTTATGAATAAATGCATGCATGAACTCATCGTTGTTTTTAATACTAAATCCCTGCATTGTCAATACATGATCCGCACGCGGAGCATGTTTTAAAAACGGCCCTGTCGTCTCGACCGCCCGCGGCAGGCGACGGCGCGCCGTGCCCGCGCGCCTGCACAACATGCCCCTCGCGCGGGGGGCCGGCAGCGCGACCTGGACCCTCTCGTCGGGGGGACGGAGCCCGGAGCCCGACGGGCGCAGCACGGGCGACTGGAGAGCGGCGCTCCCCCCTCCCCGAGCCGGGCCCCCGCCGCCCTGTCGGCCCCCCTCCAGGGTGCCACGTGCGAGCCCTCCCCCAAGGAAATCGTAGGGGGTAGGGGTAGGGTTCGCATGTGGCCCCCTACCCCTCGTCCCACTGCGCGGGACGCCCCCGGAGGAAGCCCAGCGGCACCGCCGAGAGGATTCACGTCCATGCTCGCATACAGCTGGGTGAGGAGCCGGGTCTGCCGGTCGGGGTCGTTCTCGTACTTGGTCTGGATCTCCTTCACCTTAGGCGGGCACATCCCAACGGGATTGCTCAATCTGGACGTGTGCTAGAATCAAGCGCCAGCCCCCCGGGAACAACATCCGCAAGTGGCAACGAAGGGAGACCGACGAGGACGGGAAAGGCGAAGTATGGCGGGGGCTTGGCGAAAGAACACGAGCGGAGGGACCGACACAAGAAACCCAACCCTGAGACCCCGGGACGTCCACGGATGCTTGGTGTGGGAACGCCACGCTTTCCATAGCAAAGCCATCGAAACCCAAGAAACCCTGGAGGCAAGCAGGGTGCTTCTTGGCATGGGCCTCGACTGTGCGGTGCCCAGACGAGGGAGCGCCCAGAAGGGCGAGGGACCCTCGCGGAGAGGGAGGACGGGAGGCTGGCGGCGCACGGGGCGCGAGGCCGCGCAGCCTTCCGAGGAGGCTCCCCCGCGCGCGGGGGGGAGAGCCTCTCTTCAGATCCCTGCTGGGGCCTCCTCTGAGTCCTCGCCTTAGGTCGGGCATGTCCACCTACAGGCGGGTGCTGGACCCAACATCGACAAACAATAGCAAAATCGCCCCCAGACTATGTTTGACTGTTTTCGGTTATTCCTCCTGTAGAGGGACGGGCCCGACGTTCGCCTTGCCAGATCACTGGTAATGCCGATCCCTTCAGGGATCCCCCCAAGGGCCAGTCACTTCTGACAGATCCTCTGTCCTCAGCAGGCCGCGCTGGGGGGGAGCAAGGAGGCGAGGGGAGACGTGTAGATGGCAGCCGCGTAAGAGAATTAATCGGAATAGTGCATGTTGTTTCGAGCGACACCCACCGAAACATTCGGCGTGTCCCCAACGGTGCGCTCGCCTGCTTGAACGAGGCGTGGAACAAACGGTGGCTGAGAACATTGTGGCCGAATTCTTTATACGATGTTATGTGCCACTGTTCAACTACATGTGATGTTCACGTGTTGTACGTGCTGTGGTACGACTAACTTTGATGTACGCTCCTCCTGCCTACTCCACTACTAGATTGAGATGCAGCATGTTAGTGTCCACGTGTTCCCCCTTCTCTGTTTCGCTTGAGTGGTGCTGGTGTGTGCTATGTTATACAATACCTCTCCCCTGTTGTAGTATAGTACGATCGGGTAGGCGATGCGATGTCCCACTTCGTCTGTTATGTCGTTATATCTGCTTGTACGTCATGTGATGTGCTGCTCTGCTTTACCAATTCTAGACTGTTCTAGCACGGGACAAACTGTGCCTGGCGTGTGTGCTTTGTATCGCAGCCTGCGTTTGCATAATCTGACCTGTTCTGGTCAGGACTGTTTTGGTAGGGCGTTAAGCAACACGGGTGCTGCAACCTCATCTTATGGTATGTCATGTACTGTTCGTTTGTGTTCTGGCCTGTCGTATCCTTGTATGCTTTACGTTGGTGGTGAACATGTACTCGATGTTCCATTGTGGAAGGATCTCTCCGTGCTGTTTTTTTATGCGTCCAGTGTGATATGGTATGGTAAGCGTTGTACTTGCGACGCATGCCATTGTATTATACTATGCCCAGTTCTGTTCTACTCTCAAGGTCACCATGTAATACGATTGTGTGGTTATGCTGTGTTGCTGTATCTCCTTCTATTATGGATTCGATTGTGTCCTTATGTGTTATCCTCTCTTCAATGCTATTCGGATCCACTTTGTTACAATCTGCATGTAGTGGTAATGCTGATTTGTAAAAGTACCAACCTGACGTCGTGACGCCTGGACGGCGTGACGCCGTGAACTTCGGCGAAGACGCGAGGCGATCAACTCAGGGACGACCGGTGGCCCTAGAGATATGGGGGCGTCCTGGGGACATCCTACAATCTAACAGTCGGTCGTAGCTGGTTCCTAGACGGTTCTAAGATGCTGAGTCCACTCATAGTAGGCTACACTTAACGATGTCATTGTCCTTTCTTGTGTGTTCTATTACGACATAAAATATTACATTATGGTGTGCTATAGTCCGTTATGTGCTAAACTCCACTTTGCTTGTGGATAAATTTATGCGACGTGTTGTTGAGACATGCTATGTACCCCCGTACCACGTGACACGTACTCATGTAGCATTATGTTTCAATTGAATATGGTATGCAATGCTGTGTTATACGCTGATGATTTTCTGATATATGGAACTGTAATCTGCTATGGCAACCTCCGTGATGGTCTAGCCATTCAGCTGTCTTCATGTACAGTATGGTCTGACTTGTGCGTCACAGTAGTCGAAGCAGTAGTTTAACTGCGATGATATGTGATATTATGTTACGCTGTGTTGTTATGATATGCTATGTTCTCCAATGCTGTAATCTGCAACATTTTGTGACGTCATGTTCTGCTGTGTTCTGTCTAGTTGTGCTCGATTCTGCCATGAGATCATCGGGGACCCTCGGGGGGGACCTGGAGATGTTGCGGCCGCAGGATGTGGCGGCCCACAAAAAAAGAGCTCCCCGCGGGACCGCCAGGGGATCAGGCGGTCGCGGCATGTGGCGGCCCACGAAGTGGATCCCCACGGGACCACCGCGGGATCTCCGGTGGTCTCGGGGATCTGGCGGCGGCGGCATGGGGCGGCCACGCGAAGAACCCCCGCGGGACCACCGCGGGATCATCGGGGGTACTGGGGATCTGGCGGCTGCGGTGTGCAGGTTGGGCGGATCGGGAGGCCTGCTCTCCAAACCCGACAGGGTGGGGGAACCACAACCCTCGGAGGCCCGCGCGGATTCCTTGGATCGGCGTTTGACCCACCTGGCGCGCGCACGGCGCCAGGGGGTCCAACTTGTGACGCATTGTTCTTCGAAGTCGACCGCTGCCGAGCAGGAGCCTGCCACAGGTCCATCGTCCGCCGTCCATCGAACAGTGGTGGACGCAAGCAGAGACCAGCCACAGGCCACGGGCGACGGGACACCGTCGTTGCCGCCGTCGCTGCACGAGAGGCTGTGGCAAGGAGGCGGGGAAGGAAGGATGTAGGATCAGGTCGGGCGTGCCCTCCTACAGGCGAACTTGGGACGCAACATGAAAAATCATGACAACAAAAAGCCCCACAAATTGTCAAACATGCTGAAACAACATCGTCCCCAGGGTATTCTTTGACTATTCTCGAATCTCCCTCCAGTGGAGGGGCACGCCCGACTCAGGTGTAGGGAGGCGGGGCGCACGGCAGACGCAAAGGGTCCACCCACGCCGCCCCCCATGGGGCAGGCCCACGCCGGGGCCCGGCATCGATACGCCCTCCTGGCTGGGGCACGAAGGCCTGTACACGAATGCTGGGCAGTGGAAAGGCCCGGCCAGGATCGGTGCAACCAATCCTACTCCTCCTCTTCCTCATCCTCCTCCTCTTCTTCTCCCTCCTCCTGACTGACTGCCTCATGGCATCGAGAGGCGAAGTCTGTAGCCACCATTCCTCCTCCTCCTCCTCCTCCTCCTCCTCCTCCTCCTCCTCCAATGCTTGATGCCTCACAGTCGAAGGAGGGAAGAGCGACCGGAGAGGAGGACCGCGCCCCCGACGTCGAGCCAAGGGATCGTCATCGGGCCAATCGCACCCCCTCGCACTGGCAACTGACCGGGTGAAGTACAATGCAGAAGAACTCAGGCGCAGAGGTGAGGATGCAATCAAATGCAGTACCCTTGAGTCGAAGAGGCGAGGATGCGCCAAGCGAGAACGGATAGGCAAACCAACCACGGCAACCTTTAAAGAACTGCTCCATCCGTAATGCCGTGGTTGACTGCAGCGGACGACTTCGCTGACGACAACAGGCCGCAATAACAACACCAGACCCTGAAACACAAAACGATTCTGAAACAAAACAGGGTCTGGGAGCCTTGCGTTATCAATGCAAATGCCCCTGGGCCCAGGAATTCTAAGGTTACCGGCCACTGGGTCGATCTGGCTTTTTGTGTTCGCGCCCATGCTCTAGATAACGGATCAAAACAGCTAGCGACCGCGTCACCTTTGGTGCCAGCATTTGCATCATGGCAGTCGACTTCAGCTGACCCTGCTGCAGCGGAAAGAAAAGGAGCTTGATCAGGAGCGTGTACGCTATGATACTCCAGCCGAAGGCCTGTGGAACCCCTGCCTGCCTCAGCTGGCCATCGATTCCCCTGATTGCATCAGCCTGGACTCCGATGAAAGAATTCCACCAATCATCCTTGAGGGGCTGGTTGTTCATCGGGTCGAGGAGCACATTCCCGGCCAAATCCCTGATGTACTCAACGCCCTCCTTGGGGTAACTTGTTCTGAAGGGTGCACAGCCAGAGACACAAGTCGGTCCAGGATTCCACATTCCACGATCTCGAAATTGAGTTCAGTGACGAATTGGGCAATGATGCAATCGGAAACAACACAGAATATGTATAGCAAGGCGTCTCCATGAGGGCGCTTGAGAAACTGAAAGGAAGACTCATACTGCCTGCCTGCCGTATCGAACAACGTTCAAGACTTCGTCCTCTGGATTGGGTCGTGTGGATGTCGCGACGTGGGTGATGTGTGTATGTTATTGGGCTCTCAACTGGCCTCGAAGGTCTCAAAGTTAGGAAAGCCTGATGTTTCGGATTGGTTGTCGACTAAGGAAAAGCACAGCCTCTGACCAAGACTCGTTCGCGTACACTCGGCTCGGACAGATTACTGGCTCTATCTGCCCCGTCTGGATTCTCCAATCATTCTCCGTGTATCTATAAGAATACATAAATGCTACATCATATGTTGAATATCACTCTCGTCTCTCTCTCACACTCCCTCCTCTCCCCCTCTCTCTCTAACTCTCTCTCCCTCTCTCTCTCAAGGTATCCCTCCCTCCCTATCTCTTTCTCTCTCTCTCTCTCGCTGTCCCTCCTCTTTGATTATAACTATCTCTATTCCTATTCCTCTCCACTCACTCTGCTCTCTGTGTCTCTCTATGTCTCTTTCTCCCTGCTCGGTTCGCTTCCCTACCTTATGGGACTCCTCTACAAACTAACCGATGTACCCGTCGTGCCCTCAGCTGTGTGCTCTGTTGACTCTGTCTGCTCTCTACGCTACCAGTACTCTCGTGCACACCGCTCTCTCTGTCTCTCTCTCTCTCTCTCTCTCCTTTTGTTATGTGTTATCTCTCCCTATACACAAAATGCCTAACACACAAACAATCTGTCACTACACTGCGCAACACGCTGAGCACTCCAAGGGCACCCACATGTTCTACTCTCCACATGCTGTTCACTAGAGCAATTCTGCACATGCTACGATCCGCTACTTAATACGCCTTCTTCACTCTGGTGCACTCGGCTCGCTCTCTGCCATCCCTGCACTGTCTACGCGCATGCAAACTCCGCACGCACTCCTCACCCAATGAGGACGCCAACTATACACCTGCACGGATCATGGCAGGGCCGATCCTGGGATCAAGCTCGGTGTGTACGCCCTCCTGCATTGGCCAGGAAATGCGTATACAACGATCCTTGGCCCAAAACGGGCCTTGCAAAGATCGGTGTATGTGTGTAGGTGGCGTCCCCCGACCATTTCACATTCGAAGCTCTGCGAACGGTCTACTCTACCTGCGCTGTCTGCATACCTCTCTGGTCTCTCTATCTCTGCGTTCTGCAATCCCCAGACCTCGACACTCCTTGCTTTCACCACACTCATTGCCCTCCGCAACCTGTGCATTTCCGATACTTCGTCCACTATCAAAACCTCTCCGCGCGAATTACACTCTCTACACGAAACAGGGCGGCCGCTCACCGAAATCGGCCGCCTACGTCTACCAAATCTTTGCAAACTCCGCGAGGACCCCTTCAGTGAAGGCGCTGGTTGGGGAAACGACGCCAGATACGCGACACTCCTGACCTGAGGATGCGATCAGTGAGGGCGCAGTCGCCCCCCAGGATCACGGAGGAGGGGACAGCGCGATCGAAGAAGACCCATCAGGGCATGATCTTCCGCGGTGGCTACCTGCATGACGCAATGTGATATCAGAGATGCCCGCAGGAAGCCCGCGTGAAGAGCTGCCGAGATGTCGGACCCTTGCGCCGCTCGCCGGACGAAGAGGCAGGCGCGGCAGGCCTCGGACGAAGCCGGGCGGGCTCCGGAGCACCCCATCAGGTGCTGGACGCCGCCGACATTCGAGATCACGCCAGGGGCAATGGGGGCGGACCCCCCCCTATATTCTCATACGCACCTCTCCGAGGGAGTAGAGCTCAGAGGCGATTAATGCGCACGTCGTTGGAGAAACACAATGTAGTTTCGCTCGAGACATCCTCAACATATTCTGAAAACAAACAAGCGTTTCGCTCGGGACATCTCGAGCTAAATGTACGTCGACTATCCGCCGCCGTGCGCCGTGTGCTGTTGAGGCTTGACAGAATGTCGAGGGCTGTCTGGTGGGGTTTCTGTAATCTTAGAAGCGCTGCCTGCATGGTTCCCCTCCTTCCCCTTGTTAAAGAAACCGGCCCGCGCCCAACGCCACGATCGGTCGTAACCAAAACGACGGGCCCATGCTCCCGATGCCGCGAAATACTTCATAAAACCCACGGATGCACGCTCAGGCCACGACCCCGAGGAAAAAATGATACCGGAGGAAAAAACCGAATCAGGGCTATAGGGCTGGGGGGCTATAGGGCTGTAGGGCTATAGAGCTATAGGGCTATAGAGCTATAGGGCTATAGAGTTGTAGGGCTATAGGGCTATAAGGCTATAGGGCACCCCTGGGCACCCCCGGGCACCCCCGGGCACCCCCCGGGCACCCGGGCCCCGGGCACCCCCGGGCACCCGGGCACCCGGGCGTGCGGCGAAAATCGGCGGCAAACCTGACTTGACCATATGAATCCGCTAGGACCCCTACAGAGCTCAAGCTCTGATTGGGGAACAACAGATCTGCGCTCTCGAGGCCACGATCCCTGTTGGATCCACGCTCCCGAACTTGCAAGACGGCAGCGGCAGGGAACCCAGGCGGCCGCGGTGACCCAGAAGAAGGTTCCAAGGCTGCTCGAGATGGCCTCTCAGGGCAGCTCAAGAAGCCCACAGGACAGCCGAGGAGGGTCACTATAGAGGACCCCAGAAGTGCCCGAAGAGGCCTACGTGTAAATGATATGTGCCCCCATGTCTTGTTGAAAGATTCGGGAGTCTTCATCTTATCACGCTTGCTTCAACTCCCAGCGGCCCCAGAAGCTTCCACGATGAACTCGAGACGACTCGAGAGAGCTCTAACATTGCCCATAAATCCTGCCGGACGGCCTCAAGGCAGCCCGACAACAGGACCTCTAGACGGCCCCAAGCCGGCTCAAGAGGGCCCCCGGAAGCACCCAAGACGGCCTGAGAAAGCCCATCGGCGGCCCCTCGACGGCCCCAAGAGAAGTCCCAAACGGCCAACATGGCGAGACGTCAGTCCAAGCGAGCTGCATTTACGCCCAGCATGGCCCCAAGACAACCCTAAAAGGCCCAAGGGATCTCAAAAACTGCCCCAAGAGCCCAAGAACGACGACGAAGACGAGAAGAGATCTCCTGACACAACGCGGAAGAGTGTGCCGCATGCAAAAGCTCCCCCAACCCTTGGGGCACGAGGTGTTACACGTTTCGGCCTCCTGTGCGTCCCCCGAGCAGCCGCCATCCGAGGAGATGGGCTGGCACGGTGGCGGGACTTGCAGCGGGCAGCTGATTAGACCAAAACCGATCCTTGCCAGGCCCGCCCTGGGCACGCAATCGGTGTGTACGCCCTCCTGGCTTGGCCGTGGAGTTATCTGCAGCACATCCTGGGCCCGCTGCGGTGATGGCCAGGAGGATCTGCACGTGTGTGCGCACGCTTCGGGATGGTCGTCCTCCCACTCCTCCTCCATCCCATCAGACTCGTCAAGGGACGCCGTGGCGATCTGAGCGAATCAACCTGGCTCATCGACGTGGCCAACCGGCCGAGATCAGATTTGGACACCCGAAATGGGTACCGAAAGAATGGGCACAATGCCCGACAACAATTGTTGTCCCAAACCAACCGCGGCCGCTGTTGGGCAAGCGCCCTTCTGCCTCGAATGGACACAGGCCGCGGCGGCACGGACAGCGAGTCCTGTTCAAAATGAACAAGAACTGCTGTTGGGCATCGTACCCATTCTTCCCGTGCCCATCTCGTTCGTGCCGACCAGAACTGAAGGGGCCCCAGGACACACAAATAAATACACACAAATAAAACTATTCCAAATATTTTCCTATATTTTCTGGGTCTCTGTTTCCCCCCCCACTTCCCATATTTTCCTATATGTTCTGAGGATCGCCGATTAATTGTGTCTGTGTGTGTTTTTCCCCTCCTGAAGAACGGCGCGAGTCCTCCAGCTTGACCCCCTCCGGGAGCGCCTGCACGGCGCTGGCCGCGGCCGCCACCGCGTCGGAGACCTTGGGGGGCGGCGAGCGGCACTCGGCCCGACGGCCCGAGCCCTGCGCCCTCCCCGCGCCCTCCGCCCTCCCGTGACGGCGCGCACCACAGGGGGTGGGCTTCTCGGCAGGAGGCCGCTTCCCGGAGGCAGCCGGCCCCACATCCGCGGGGCAGACCCGCGCCTGCCACGAAGAGCGCGGGGGGGGCTTCTTCTGGGAGGCCTTCCCCTCTCCCGCTTCCCCCCCCCCTCGTGCGCGCCGCCGACGCCCCTCGCCTTCGCCCCGCTGGCGCTCCGTGCAGGACGTCCTTGGCCGCTTGGGCCTGCCGGCATGACCCCTGCAGCGACGCGGGTGCCCAGCGCAAAACTCCGCGCCCTCAGAAGCTCCGAGGTCCGAGAGGCGCGCAGCCCTTCCCGGGCGAAAAAAGTGTGCTCTCTGCTATGCGGTCCGCTCCCATTCGGGTCTTCCCGAGTCCCTCTCGTCCTCGAACGTGGAGCCCACCCCGAACCGACCTGGGCCCAATCGCCATCATACGGGGGAAACCGCACCAATGCGGGGCTCTTCGGACCCGTGTCAATCCAGACCTGCAAAATCCTTGCAAAATCCTGCGAGATCCCGCAAGTTTCTGCAGGATCCAACACCCGAACCCGGGTCCCCCGTTTGAATTGACCCTCGTCTCTTGAGCCTCGACAAATAAATATCGGGGGCATCCAAGAGGGGGGGGGCAAATCATGGCCGGCGGCATGTGCGCGGCCCAGGGGGCGTCCAGGGACGCATTGAAATAAGACGAGGCGCCATGAAATCTAGGAAGATACCACGGGCCCCGCCATGTTGTCACTCCCCCTCTGCCGGGGGAGCGCAAACATGGATTAGCGATCCATGGATTTGGCGCGCGGTCGCCAAATCCATGGATCGGGGGAGGTGCCCTCCCCAAAATGCGGCCGGTGCCGCCAGGCTCGGCGGCGGAAACCGCGGTTTCCCATGGAAACGGGACCCGTCGCTAATCCACGCCCCCTGGATCTATGTTTGCGATCGCCTGCCTCTTGGCCGCCCCCGAAATGATCAAGACCGCTGCTCCCAAGGCCTCCCCCGGGGCGCGCCCTGACCAGGGCGTCAAGGCGAAGCCGGCCGCGGCGACGAGGGGCGCCCAGCGGCACCGGCGTCGCTATTTCCTTTGACCCTCGCCCCTCCTCCTCCTCCTCCTCCTCCTGCTCCTCCTCCTCCTCCTCCTCCTCCTCCTCCTCCTCCTCCTCCTCCTCTGAGCCTCGCCCCTCTCTCGCCAATGCTTCAAATTCGGGGATCTACGTTGGGAGGCAGCTACTGGGAGGTCTCCGTCGGAAGGATGAAGAAACATTGAGCCCAATTGGGGGGCTGTCACGCAAGATTAGGCCGCGGATTCACCGGGATAGAGCCGCATGAACCGGGACTAAACCAGAGTAAGCCGGACTAAGAGGGACAGGCCGCGGATGAATCGGGATTAAGCTGGATTAAAGCGGGATTAAGCCGAATTAAACGGGATCATGCGGGATTAAGCCTGATTTCGGACCAAAACGAAGTCAGAATTTGACCTCCCGAGAAATGCATCCGAATCTACTGACCTGGTCAAACATCTTAGGAGAAACAACGACCACCTCTAGGGCCCCCCTCCCTGGCGCGCGGAGCGCGCCAGGGGCGGCGCCAGAGGCGCCGCCGGGGGGCCCCAACGCCGATCCGAGAAATCCGCGCGGAGCTTCGAGTCTTTATGTTTACGTCACTTTTTGTTCCCCTAACCTCCCAATAGGGCCTGCGCTAGATCGTGCTGCTTCGTGTTCGCCTTGTTTTTTAGTTGTTTCGTCTAATCTGCCTTCGCTGCGAGACGAAGTCAACACGAAACTGGGCCACGAACTCGCCAATAAACACCGTTTGGCTCGAGCCCTGCCTCCCATCAAAGCTCACCGCCGACCGCCGACTTCGAGGATCTACTGGAGGAGGAGGAGCAAAAGGATGACGAGAAGGACGAGGAGGGAGGAGGAGGAGGCACGCGGGGCCTCCTGGGGCGCCACCGCCACGTCGGCGGCCCACGCGGCGGGCACCAGCGGCGGCGCCGCCGGGGCGGCCCGGGCGACGTCCTCCGCCCACTGGCGCAGGAGGGGCGCCAGCTGCTCGAGGCTGGGGCCGGCGGCCTGCCGCCGCTCGGGCTCAACCTCATCCGCCTCATCCTCCTCCTCCTCCTCCTCTTCCTCCTCCTCTTCTTCCTCCTCCTCCTCCACCTCATCATCATCCGCCTCTTCCTCCTCCTCCGCCTCCTCCTCCTCCACCACCACCCGGCCTTCCCAGGCACACATATCGCGCTGCGACATAAAAGTCGCGACGGGAAGCTTTTCGCTACATTCGGCCTCCTGGGAACCTCACAGGGCATCGGGAGCGTGAAGAAGCGATCCAGGACGAACACCTGGTCCTGGGGAAGGGGTCCGGACCTCTGCGCGTCGGCGTTGCAAAAAAAAACGACGTCGGGGCCCAGGGTTGGCAGGACTCCTCCGTGCCCCCTCTGCCTCCACCTGCTCTCTCCCCCTGCTGCTCCCCTGTTGAGGAGAATAGAGGAGGTCGTGGCAGCAGGGGGAGGAGATCGATCGAGCTCTCGGGCCAGTTCGGTGCTATTCCCCCTTGACTGGAGCTGAGCTGCGTTGAAAAATCTAGCATGGCCCGGCTGTGTTCACTTTGTGGAAAGGGGGCCGACGCTCTGACCATACCTGCACGAGGAGGAGGACGATGAGAAGGATAAGGAGAAGAGCAGGTAGGTAGAGCGACGAGATGTATAAAGACCTCCCTGAAAGAGGCTCCGGATGAAACGCCAGCCTTGCAGGGAAACTTCTGGGGGGCCCCGCATGGGCAAAACAATACATCGGATCCCTGGAGTCACTCCTGTACCCCTCTCCTCCGGCGTTACAACTCTTTCAGGAAGTGGGCACAAAAGAATAACGACTGGTTCCCCAAACATGTTTTTGTTCGTCCCGCGTCGTTTCGCTGACGCATGGTTTATCATGTTCCGGCCGCTCCTCCAGAGCGGGCGACAAGTGTGGAACAAAAATATACGAACATTGCGAGCTGGGTCGCAGTTGCCACTAAGTGTTGGACAATAGAAACATAGCATAGTGGGCTTGCTCCTTGCGCCGACGCAGGAGAGCCCAGAATCGAATCGAAAAGTCGAATCGGCGATCGAAATGAATCGGATCTGCAAATATCGGCAGCCGAGTCGGGATAAGCCGAATCGGCGGAAATCGGCAGGCTAGAATGCCTCCAGAAAGGAGTCGGAGCCCAGATCGGAATCCGAAGTCGAACCGAATCGCAATCGGCAGCCATCGAAATCAGCTCGAATCGAATCGGAGGAATCGAAATGCGCCCTGCCGACGTGCGGGCCGGGCGAAAGGGGAATCAGCTCACGTGGCTTATTTTCTTTCCCGGCGCCTCCCGGCGCCGGGAGGCGCCCATGCATCGAGGAATGGGCCCGGCGGCGGGGCCGAAACCAGCTGCATGCAGCAAATTTCGTACCCCCCCCCTTTCTAGGGGGCAAACGAACCTACCTCGCTTTTGACCACCCTCGCTTCCAAGAGATACCAAACGATTCCAAATTGCAGCCTGTACTGGTCAGGCCGCTTGACGAGGAGGCGTATGGTATGGCTTGGTTTTTCCCAGAAGCGAAAGCGGGGTAGGTAATGCACGCTCTGAGCCCCCCCCTCTTTCGCTCGGCCCTGCGCAGACGTGGCCTCGAGGACCCCGTCCAGAAACTCCGCGTGCTCCGGGAGCACCGCTCTGGCCACCGCGCGCGGGCGGCGCGCCGCCGGCGCCCCGGCGCTGGACGCGCCGGGCGGCCTCGGGGCGGCGGGGCCCGCGGAGCATGGCGCGAGCTGAGCCACGAGCACACCACCATGCAGCCACCGTGAGCGAAGCGACTGAATGAAGAAGAAAAAAATTCAATCCACAAAATCCGTCTCTTTCGGGGAACGGGTGGCCAAGGACCACCCGGTGAGCCGTCCGATCGCGGGCGGGAAGTCCTCGGGCACAGTAGCCGATTGCGACAAGCCCTATTGACGCGCGGCGTGACCATATGGGAGAGACTAATCACGAGAATGTGGCTAACATATGTGACAAAAGTGACAACACGCGCGGCCTCTTTCGCCCAAAACGCGAGTGGGGGCGCCGACAGGCATTGTCGGCAGCACCAGCTACACGGGCGCCAATCTCAAGGATCGCCTGCTGGGTTAGCGATTGTAGTCGTGGAGACGACTTAATTGTCAGGGTAACGGTAGGGAAAAGTAGTGGCTCTTCTCAACCGAACGCAATATTGGGGCCTCTTGAGCCGTGAGGGCACGCGCTGCGGCCCATCTGGACAGACAGATAAATCACGCGAGATACGCTGTGCCGGCTTCCCGGCGCCCGCGAACAACTCTCGACTGGGCGCAGTCACGGGGCCTGACGCTGCACGGCCGCGTCCCAAAACTTGGCGGCATGCAGCGGGGGGGGGGGGGGCGCGAGGGGGGGGCCCTCCGAGAGAGAGGGGGGCCTCTTATGAGACGGGGACCTTCTGAAGGACTGGAGGTATGTGGACGCCTTCCACGTGGGGTCCAATGGTGTCTGATCGCCAATGCATGCCCGATGCATCGGCGCCGTCGGCGATGTATCGGCGACGTCGGCGTGGAGAAAACCGGGCTCCACATCGAGTCACGTCGCTGATGTGGCGCGACCCTCCGACCACATCTACTTGGGTTCCACTTAGGAGGCCTGGCTTCAAAAAAGAAGACTTCTTAGAAGCCCCTGGAGCTCCTCTAAGACCTGCCTTCTTAGAAAAGGCGAACCCACTCGTGACTCCCCCCTGTGCGCACCTCCACGCCGTGGGCGACGCCGCCGCTACCGCGGCCGCCGTTGCGGTCGTCATCATGGCTGCCGCCGCGAAGGAGAACGGGTCACGCACCCCAGGCGATAATTCTCAGAGCGTGCTAGCCCAGCGAAGCCTTCAAGGACGACGCAAGCGATGCAAAGAGAACCGACAAAGGCTCCCGCGCTGGCGGCAGAGCCGAACGGGGTAACACACACACACACACACACACACACACACACACACACACACGCACACACACATACACACACACACACACACATCGGGCCAACACACGTCCTGTGTGGACGCCCGAAATGGATGCGGAAAGCCAGGGTACGACGCCCAACAAAAAAACGTGGTCCACAACCGACAGTGGCCGCTGATTGGGCAGGCTGCCATCTGTCTCAAACGAACAACGCCCGCGGCGGCATGGACAGCGAGCCCTGCGCAAGGCTCAAGATGAACAGAACAAGGCTGCTGGTCTTCGTGCCCATTCTGTCCGTACCCATTCTCGGGAGCGGCCAAGAGGGGGGTGTCCAAGAGGGGGGGTGCAAATCATGACCGTCGGCATGTGCGCGGCCCAGCGGGGGGGCCAGGGACGTAATGAAATAAGAAGAGGTGCCATGAAATCTGCGGAAATATCATGGCCCACGCCATGATATCCACCCCCCCTAGTTATCACCCCCCTCTTTGCCGCCCCCGACATTCCGGTCGTACCGATCCTGAGCATCGTCGACCCGGGGCCTGCACCCGGGACCGTGTCCTCCATCGACCACCGGCTTCGTTGGCGGTCCCCAGACGAGGCCGCAAATGACGCAAAAATCAAGTCAATCATGTCCTCCGACAGGCAGTTCTTGGAAGAACAAAGCAAAGTACTCAACAGATGCTCAACAATGGCTGGAACATCATCCCCATACCGATTCTTTGACGAGTTTCGAAGCACCTCCTCGAGAGGGACGTGCCCGACCGAACGCAGGGATCTCAAGACCCGCTCCCCTCGGGGCCCGCCGCTGCATCTTCCGGGTGGGGGGGGGCGCCAGGGGAGGCAGCGCCGGCTCTCCCGCCGTGTCTCGGGCCGGGCGAAAGGGGGGGATAGCAAAGGGGGGGGGGGGTGAGAATCAGCTCACCTAGCTGATTTTCCCAGCGCCTCCCAGCGCCGCAGGCGGCTATGTATCGAGGAATGGGCCCCTCGGTGAAGCCGACACCAGCTGCATGCAGCAGATTTCGTACACCCCCCTTTCCCAATCCCCCCCTTTCGTCCTGCCCGAGTGTCCGAGTCCGCTCAGAGTCGGCCCTACGGCATGCCGCACGGATCGTGAGCCATCTCGCCTCCGCTGTACTGCAGCCCACCACCACCGCATGCACTGTCCCCTCGGGGCGGAGACGAACCGATAGCCCCATTTCGCCCCCGCGACTGAGATCCCACCACCATCGAGTGCACTGCCCGCTCGGGGCGGAGGCGAGCCGACGTCCGTACAAGGCAGGTTCTAATACATAGGATTTTTTATATGTTGGATTTTTTGAATACATGATTAATCTACGAATGAATCAATGCATAAATTCATCATGGTTTTTGATACTAGATCCCTATCTTTTCAATCTATGATCCTCACGCGGAGTATGTATTAAAAACGGCACCGTAGTCTGAACCCCCCTGTGAAAGTGACCCCTGGGCGGCCCGATCTTTCGGGGGGCGCTCGGGGACCACGGGGGCGACGTTCGGCCCCGGACCACCCCCGACGTCGTGCTCTTCTCGCCACGTCGACCCCCAGAGGTCTGGACCCCCTTCGTCCCGGATCGGGTCTGGACGGTCCCGAGGCCGAACATGGCCGAACATGGCGAGACACCCCCCGTCGTGACGTCTGTCGCACCGCGAGGGGAGGCTGGGTCTGGGCTCGTCGAGGCGGAGGCAGCAGGTGGCGACGCGAGAGGCCCGAGAGGAGGCCGACAGACGCCAGGGGTGCGACGCACGGGCTGCGCCCCCCCCCTCCCTCTGGGGAGCCCACGACAGACGCACGCGCCCAGCCACGCAAACGCATACGACCCCAGGTCCGCCAGGCCAGCCTCGTGCCACCCGCGGGGACGAAAGGGTAGGATACAGTAGGCGTTCGACCACAAGACACTTTCCACAAGAAGCCCTGAGACCCCAGGTCGTCCATTGGCTTGGGTGTGGGAACGTCGCGCTCTCCACAGCAATAGCATCGAACCCCAAGAAACCCAGGGCACCCTGGAGGCAAGCAGGGTGTTCCTTGGCCTTAGTGTTTTCCTGGAACCTTCTGTCGCCGAGAGGCGCCCATGTATCGAGGAATGGGCCTGGCGGCGGGGCGGAAACCGGCTGCATGCAGCAAATTTCATACCCCCCCGTTCCCTATCCCTTTCGTCTGGCCCGAGTCACGGACTCCCGCGCAATGCACAGCTTCGAGCCCCACGAAAATTCCGTGTGCGCGCACGTTCATGTATTAAGTCGAAGCCCTGGCGACGATACCAATTGGGGCGAGATGAATCGAGAATCTCTGAGATCTGGCGGCTCTAGAGACTTTGGCGCCGCGGCCTTCTCAAAGCTTTTCCTCGTCTTCCCCGTGCATCTCTCGACATCGTGCGTGCCTTGTTTCGTATGATGACCCCATCTGCTCCTCCATGGCCCTCGCGGAGAAACAAGGCACGCGTCCCAGTGATGCGAAGTCCAAACCAGGGCCCATTTATCCCGCTCGTGACACCAGGGTGACGATCAAAAACGGGTCTTGCGCGAGATGTCGTAGCGACCTTCCGCCGCAGCCTACGCGGGCCGCCGGCGCGGCTCGCTACATTGGAGACGAGGGCGCTTACGCGCGACCTTACGCGGGCAGCCTACGCGCGAATGTCGGCACAGACCTTGAGCAGGGACCGACCGTCCGGGCATTCCTGTAGTCCTACCACGAAGCGTTCTTATAGAACCCCAAAATGCTCTAAGAACAAACACAATGTTCTTAGAACATAAACCCGATATGTCAAAACAAGACGGTCCCAGCCAGAACTGTTCTAAGAACATTTCGTGGAGACCACGACAGGTTCTCAGAACATTGTTTGGTGGGGCCATAGGCGAAGCGGAACGCTTCGCCACTGCTTGAAGACCAACCAACCCGCTGTTTTTTGGGCGCCCGAGTTATCCGGGGTAACTCGGGTCCGGGGTAACTCGGGTTCGGATTCTCGAAAAAGGAGCCCGAGTTGGCCCTGACCCGAGTTGCCCCTGATGATGTGGGGCTCTGGGCGCCCGAATGATCCGGGGTAACTCGGGTCCGGGGCAACTCGGGTTCGGACTCCCGAAAAACGAACCCGAGTTAGCCCTGACCCGAGTTACCCCCGATGGCTCGGGGCTCCGATGCTTTCTCTGCTCGCCTGCCGGCCGGCCGCTGAGCCCGCGGCCCGGAGCGCCGGCGGCGCGAGGCGAGGGCGCAGCAGGCGAGGCCCACCGCGGTCACCAGCGTGGCGGCGGCGCGGGCGCCGCCCCCCGAGGCGCCGGTCCTCGGGCGGGGGGCGGCGGGCCGTGAGTCATCCTGGGCTTCGGGGGCGGGGGAGTCGGGGCGTCGACGGCGTCGACTTTGTGCCCAGAGGGCAGTTTTTCAGACTTGGGATTCGTTTGGAACTAGAAGAACTTCAATGCATGATTAGTTCATGGATGAATATATGCATGCACTCATCGTTGTTCTTCATACTGAATATCTTTATGTTTAATTCATGATCCGCACGCGGAGCATGTATTAAAAACGGCACTGTAGGGGCTCTGTGTTCTATCTATCTGTGTCCTCGTGCACTGACGGATGATCCTGCCCCCCCTTCGGTGTTCTGCGCCCTCGCCCGCCCAGCGCCGCCTGCACCACCTCCTCCCCCTCCGCCGGGGAGATGCCCCAGCTGGGCGCGGGGGGGGCAGAAGCCAACAGAAGCAAGAACATCACTCCAAACACAAGGCCTCCTCGGAGGCCGGCCCCCCGCCCCGCCCCCTGCCCTTGTGTTAAGTCGGGCCTGTCCCCCTACAGGGGGATTATTTTCGACGATAAATACAACATATCCCAAACATTATTTAAAAAAAGTCAAAAAATTGTCGGGGGACTATTTTTGGAGTATGTTTGACAATTTGTTGTATATGTTTCGAAATATGTTCAATGTTTCATCGAAAATCCCTCTGTAGGGGGACAGGCCCGACATAGCCCTTGAGGCGCGCCGCGGCGTCCTGCTGCAGTCGCCCCAGCCGTCGACCTATGGGAGGGCGCCGCACCGACCGCCCGCCGACGCCGACCGACGCCGACCGACGTGGGCCGCGCTCGCTCCCCGGGCCCCGGATCTGGGAAGGAGGAGCGGCGCCACCGCCACCCACGGCGCGGGGCGCTGATTAGGGAGGGCCCTCTTGCGAGTGTCGGCCCTGGACGCCCGAGATGGGTACGGAAAAGCTGGGTACACTGCCGAGGCGCTAGGAGGGAGGGCCCTCCTGCGAGTGCCGGTTCTGGACGCGCGAGATGGGTGCGGCAAAGATGGGCACAATGCCCAAAAAACAAATATTAATGTTGTCCCAAACCAACAGCGGCCGCTGTTGGGCAGGCGGCCTCCTGTCTCGAATGGACACAGGCCGCGGCGGCGTGGACAGCGAATCCTGTTCAAGATGAACAGGAACTGCTGTTGGGCATTGTGCCCATTCTTTCCGTACCCATTTCGGGCGTCCAGATCGGTACCCCCCCTCTCGGGCTGGGCGAAAGGGGGGGACAGCAAAGGGGGGGGGTCAGAATCAGCTCACGCAGCTGATCTTCCCGGCGCCGGAGGCGGCCATGTATGGAGGCATGCGCCCCTCGGTGGGGCCGAAACCGGCTGCATGCAGCAGACTTCGTATCCCCCTCTTTCCCTATTCCCCTTCTTTTTCGTCCGGCCCGACCCTCCCGCTCCAGACACCCCTGGCCCCCAGCGCAGGTGGGCATCGTGGACCCCCTCGCCGCACGCGGCCTCCACGGTGGTGGTGGGTGGTGGTGGCGCATCTCCTTCCTCCGAAGGGCTCCGCGTGACGGTAACGCTGAGTCCAGGCTGGGCCCTGCCCAGCGCTGGCCGTGTTGTATCAGGCTTAGGTCGGGCACGTCGAAAAATATCAGAAAAATCAGCAATAATCGAATAATGCCCCCTAACGGTCAAAAAGTAAACGAAAGATCGGCCCCAGACTCTTTTGTTACTGTTTTGGAAGATTCCCCCTGTAGACGGCAGGCCCGACGTACAGGGAGGTGCAACTCCAGACTTTTTTGCTACTATTTTGGAATATTCCCCATGTAGAGGGACAGGCCCGACGTAAAGAAGGTGCAACTCTCCTGTGAACTGCTTGCCATTAAGCCCGTTCCCGGCAAGGCCGCGACTTGCGCCGGCACCTTCTGCGAATGGCCAGGGGCATCTGTCGGGGATGGACAGAACCCCCTGTAGTAAAACGTGGTTTAGTGAAACCGACCTCAGGCCCAACCCTGGCGGGCGCAAGTCTGGAAAGCTAAAGGCCGCGGCGCCCTCTCGAGAACCGAAAGCGGACAACTCACTAATCGACTTGTCATGGGGGGGGTCTGTCCACCCCCGAATCTAGTCAACCCCGTGAAGGCCCCCACCATAGGGGGAGCACAAGCACCGCGGACCTCTCCCCTGGAGTTCCGTCTGGCCAGGACTTCGATGCGAATCCAGCCGTGGAAAGCCCCGCCTGGCGGACTTCGATGCGAATCCTGCGTTGACGGTCCCAGCGGTGCCCAGGGTCCGATAAAGTGTTGACACCTCATGCCTTCTTTTTTTCAGTACGTCGGAGATCAAGCATTATCGCTAGTGAGGGACAACGCTGGGGGGCCGTCTCAGGGAGGAAACATCGAGCTGGAATCGACGATACATCGCGGATAGACCGGCGATGGGCCTCCGATAGCGAATCCGCTAGCTCCTGGGCAGGGTAGGATATCGGGCCCCTATATGCGATGAGTGAGCGATTGGGGGTCGATGTAACCCCCCCATGAGCCTATCCCCCTACGGCTGACGTTCCACAAGAAACCTTACACAAGAACCCAATCCTGAGACCCCAGGACGTTCTTTTTCGGGGGGGTGGGAACGTCACGCTTTCCATAGCAACACCATCGAGACCCAAGAAACCCAGGGCCCCTGGCGGCAAGCAGGGTAATTGTTGGCATGGGTCTCCACTGTAAGTATCCCTGGAGCCCCAGTCCTCAGTCCTGAGGAAATCTCTCAGGGGCATGGGCACAAAATTCCAAAATGTGGCGTGGCTCCCGGCGTGACGGTTGGGCTCCCCCGCCTGGTGGCGCGTGAATTGTTGGGGCCCGAGAGGGCCCCAAGAAGCCCCCAAGACGGTCCAAGAGGGCGCTGAAAGATCGCCGCAAGACGCGCAGAATGGACTCCAGACGCCAAGAGGCCTCCAAGACGCCCCAAGAAGACTCGAAGAGGCGTCCCAAGGTCCACAGGAGGCCAAAATTATTGATGTTCTCTGTTTCATTCTCACGGAAAAAGCAACCTTGTTTGGCGTTCCCGCTTTTTCGGCTTCCCGACGCTCCAAGACGGCCAAGGAGGCCTCCAATACCACCCCCAAACGGTCAAAGAGGCCTCCAGGAGGGCCCCAAGATGGCCGAAGAGCACCCCCAAACCCGAATAAGGATGCGCGGTAAGGACGCAAGACCCTTGGAAGCCGAAGTTGGGATTTTTGGGGCGGCGGACGACGAAAATCTCAAGGACGCAAGAGCGAGGAAGAGCAAGGACGCAAGGGTACCCTGAGCAAAGCCGCGCGTCCTTATTTGGGTTTTTGACTGTATTGCTCCGAATCTACTGCACCACCTCCTTATCGCGGGACCCCCTTCTGGGTCAACCAGAAGGCTCCGCTACCGCTCTAACGTCCGAGCGCTGCCGGGGGCTCCAAGCTCCCGGCGGCCCTCCCGGGGACCGGCTGCCCGGCGCCCGCCCGCGGGCCGGGGCAGGCGCGGGCCGGCCGCCGCGGGGCGGCGGCCCCGAGCGAGAAGGAGAGGCCGGCTCCGGACAGGCCCAGCAAAACCTCGGGCGGGTCGCCAAGGCGCGGGCGCGCTGCTCTGGAGCGATGTATACATATTCATATATATATATATATATATATATATATATATATATATATATATATGTATATACATATGACTATATATGAACATTATATGTATGTATATATATATATATATATATATATGTGTATCTATATGATGATGTGTATACATATATACATATATATATATATATATATATATATATGTATCGATTCGGGGGCGCGCAAACATGGATTAGCGATCCATGGATTTGGCGCGCGGTCGTCAAGTCCATGGATCGGGGGAGGTGCCCTCCCCAAAATGCAGCCGGTGGCGCCTCGCTCGGCGGTGGCAATCAGCGAGTTCCTATGGAAACGAGACCCGTCGCTAATCCACGCTCCCTTAATCCATGTTTGCGATCGCCTGAATATTGTTTACCAGCCTGGAACAGATCCCTATCCGTATGTTGGGCATCGATGGCGATCTTAGGGATTTCCGCAGTGTCTGAGGGTGCATCCCTAAGAATGTCATTTCCTTCTAGCGTGTCAATCTCAGAGCCGGGAACAGTTCGGGGCTGGTGCGCAAGGCCACAGGGGCCTCCTGGGCAAGAGAGAGCCCAGAGCTGAGTCGATAACAAGTCGAATCGGCGAGCGAGCAGGATCGAAGCGGCGGAAGTCGGCGGCCGAGTCGGGAAAAGTCGAATCGGCGGGAATCGGCGGGCTAGCATGCGTCCAATAAGAAATCGGAACACACATTGGAGTCCCAAGTCGAATGGAATCGGAATCGGAAGCCATCGAAATAGAATCCAATTCGAAATGAGCCCTGCCTGGATGGGGTCGGAGTAGATGGGGTCGGAGGATCGGGCCGCAGCGCCGATGCATCGACGATGCAGCATCGGCGATGCATCGGCGATGCGTCGGCGACTTCGGCGGCGCAAAGGCGACGTCGGCGTGGAGAAAATCGGGCTCCGCATCGAGCCGCGTCGGCAACGTATCGACGCTGCGCGATGCGCCGCGATCCTCCGACTCCTGGGGAAACCACACAAATACCGATACCGCTACTCCCCGGACCTCTCCCATCCTTCTCTGTTCCCCCACTCGCTCGCCGCCGAGTCGGACCTAGGCCAGAGGAACCTACCTCGGGAACATGATACCCTCCGCCGGCCAAAACATACACAGAGCATCCATGGATACTCTCCCCAGGGTGCGTCAGAACATCTAACACACACACACCAAGAACACGAGGGTACCCTCCCCCAACCGACCTCGGTCTCAGAACCACGGTCTGACTGTAGTAAGGAATGGGGTTAGCGTTATGTCGGGCATGTCCCCCTACAGACGGATCATGGAGGAAACATAGAACATGTCAAAACATAGTTAACACATGCAAAATCATAGAGAACTCGTCCCAGACTACTGCTTGAACATCCCTCCTGTAGATGGACAGGACAGGCGCGGCGTAAGTTTGGCGAATCAACACTTGCAGCTGATTCCCCCAGTGCCTCATGGCGCCTGGAGGCGCCACCGTTCCGAGGAGAGACGCCCGGTGGCGGGGCCTGGACTGGCCGCGTGCAGCTGATGTCGTCCCCAGTTCTTCCGACCCGAGTTCTCCTCCTCCACCACCTCCCCCTCCGACGACGACGACGACGAGGACGAGGAGGACGAGGACGACGGCGAGGACGACGGCGAGGACGACGAGGACGACGACGACGTCGACGACGACGACGACGACGACGACGACGACGACGACGACGACGACGGCGGCGAGGACGACGGCGAGGCCCCCGCGCAGTCGCGAGATACCGCCAGGGGGCGCCCTGGGGCGAAGGGCTGGGCGGCAAAGGCCACAGCGAAGCACGCCAGGAAGGCCCCGATGTATGTATATATATATATATATATATATATATGGACGCCCCCCGCCCCAGCACCCCCAAACCACCCCAAAACAAACAAGCGCCAACTGATCGTGTTATCCTCATCCTTCTCCGTCTCCTCCTCGTTATCCCGTCCTCCTTCTTCTCAGAAGCTGAAAGCGACTCTCTTGGGCTCGTTTGAGGAGGGGTCAAGTCTTTCAGCGTAGGGGCCTGAAAATGCTGTGTTTTTCAGGTGTGTCTCTTTTTTTCTGGTTTTTCTGACTTCTGGCAAAGACTACGCAAGTTGGCTAGTCTCTCCCAGGAACCCGAGAAAACAACAAAAACAAACCTTTTGTTTTAAAAACAAATACTTATAACAAGAAAAAAAAACGTGTTCAGTCCAGTCCCTTCTACGCTAAGGGAGGAGGAATGTGAGTGGTTACAAGAGTCATGCGAGTACGACTCTCTTGGGCTCGTTTGAGGAAGGATCCCATCTCTGAACGCAGGGGCCTGAAAGCGCCGTGGTTGTTCATGTGTTTCTGGTTTTTCGTTGTTACTCAGTTCTGGCAGAGACTACGCAAGTTGGCTAGGCTCCCCCAGGAATCTGGAAAAAAAGAACCAGAAAAACCTGAAAGAAACACAGCGTGTTCAGTCCCTCTACGCTAAGGGAAGGGGAATGTGAGAGGATACAGGAGTGATGCGAATCCACGGGTGGTAAACCTGCTGGTGCAGTGAAAGCGACTGCTGGGAACGTTGCACCAACAGCCGACCAATCAATTGAGAGGGGTTCGAGTATGAGCTTATATGTTAGGACCCGCAAGATGGTGATCTATGCCTGAGAAGGGCAATCTCAGGGGAAACTCTGATGGAGGCTCGTAGCGAAACTGACGTGCAAATCGTTCGTAATACTTGGGTACAGGGGCGAAAGACTAATCGAACCGTCTAGTAGCTGGTTCCTTCCGAAGTCTCCCTCGGGATAGCTGGAGTTGAACAGTTTTATTAGGTAGAGCGACTGATTGGAGAAATCGGGGGCGCGTTGTCCTCGACCTATTCTCAAACTTTACTGGGTAAGATCCAGTGGTTACTTGGGTGAACTTCTGGGATACTCGACAACTCTAAGTGGGCCATGTTTGGCCAGCTGAACTGGCGATGAAGGATGAGCCTAACGTTGGGCTGAAGTGCTTAACTGCTCGCTCATCAGATACCATAAAAAAGGGTGTTGGTTCATTTTAACAGCAGGACGGTGGTCATGGGAGTTGAAATCCGCTAAGGAGTGTGTAACAACTCGCCTGCCGAATGGACTAGCCCCGAAAATGGATGGCGCTCAAGCGGGTGCACCAGTGAGTAGGAGGGCATGGGGGCTTGTGACGAAACTTTTGGCGCAAGCCTGGGCGAAACAGCTCCTAGTGCAGATCTTGGTGGCAGTCGCAAATATTCAACTGAGAACTCTGGAGACCGAAGTGGAGGAGGGTTCCACGTGAACAGCAGCTGGACGTGGGCTAGTCGATCCTAAGAGACAGGGAACGTAAGAGAATTCGGTGACGCAGGGGGGAGCCTTGGGAAGCGTTGTCTCTTCTTTTAAACCGTCTCTTACCCTGAAATCAGACTGCCTGGAGATAGGGTTAATTGGCGGGTAAAGCACCTTGTCTTCCGAGGTGTCCGGTGCGCTCTCAACTGTCCTTGGAAATCCGAAGGAAAGGCTTGTTCTCACCCCTGGTCGTACCCATAACCGCATCAGGTCTCCAAGGTTAACAACCTCTGGTCGATAGAAGAAAGTAAGTAAGGAAAGTCGGCAAAATAGATCCGCAACTTCGGGAAAGGGGTTGGCTCTGAGGGTTGGGTATAAGGGGTCCTTGGATTGATGTTCGAGCTGAGCAGAAGCTACTTGACGCCTTCTGGTGGATAGTGGATTCGCGCATGGCGAGAATTGCCGTTCGAGGAACGCCTTTCGGGGCTTTCCCTGTGCAGTGAACAACCAACTCAGAACTGGAGCGGACAAAGGAAATCCGACTGTTTGATTAAAACAAAGCATCGCGATGGCCTCAAAAGGTGTTGACGCAATGCGCTTTCTGCCCAGTGCTCTGAATGTCAAAGTGATGAATGTCAAGCAAGCGCGGGTAAACGGCGGGAGTAACTATGACTCTCTTGAGGTAGCCAAATGCCTTGCCATCTAATTAGTGACGCGCATGAACGGATAAACGAGATTCCCAATGTCCCTATCTACTATCTAGCGACACCACACCCAAGGGAACGGGCTTGGGATAATCAGCGGGGAAAGAAGACCCTGTCGAGCTTGACTCTAGTCCGACTTTGTGAAATGACTTAGGAGGTGTAGAATAAGTGGGAACTTTGGCAACCTTGAAATACCACTACTCTTAATGCCATTTTACTTATTCCGTTGGACTGCGACTTGCACCACAACGAGTTTTAGATCTAAGGGGAGTTTGGCTGGGGCGGCGCATCTGTTAAATGATAACGGAGGTGTCCTAACAAACATCTCATGTGGACCAAAAGGGGAAAAGCTTGCTTGATCTTGATTGTCAGTACGAATACAAAGTGTGAAAACATGGCCTGTCGATCCTTTAGGTCTGAGAAATGTTCAGCTAGGAGGTGTCAGAAAAGTTACCACAGGGATAACCCACCGCACCTCTCAGGGGGTGCGTTCTGACCAGAATCTCGAGGCGAATCCAGCGGTGGCGACCACGGGCTCCCAGGAGGCCCAAGCAGGGGAAGACTGGGGAAGGGCAGCAATATACTTCGGTACCTCTTCCTCCTCCGATTTGCATCGATCGTCTACACGCAAGAGTGACCCTGGGTAAGAGTGACATTTGGTGCGCGGCTTTTTGGGGGTCGCGGGGGGGCCAAACCTGTGCGCTCAAGCCGCTGCTCCTGCTTCGTTTTCAGCCATCTGGGGACCCATCTGTGCCCGCACCAAAGGTCACTCCGGCGAAAGGTCACTCTTACGTCTAGTCGAATCGAGCCCCTCGTACCCCCCCACCCCCGGGCGGGAACCGCGGCCACGAAGGCCATCGCGCGAGGGGCGCCTGTCCGCGCCATCGTTGGTGCTCCTCCTCCCGGCGGCGTCGAGAGGAGCCGGGTCCAGGCGGGCGCGGCGGCTGCCCTGCCCCGCGCACGGAGGCGAGCCCGAAACGGCGGCTGGCCCACGCGCGGGCCCCCCCCTCCGCGAGCGCCGAAAGGCGCTGGGCCCCTGCGGCGGCCTCCAGAGCAGCCGGCCCCCCTCGACGTCCTGGAGCCCCCCCCCCTCCTCGCGTCCCTCCTCCTCGGACCCCCCCCCTCCTCGAGTCCCCCCTCCTCGAGTCCCTCCCTCCTCCTCCTCGAGCCCCCTCCTCGAGTCGCCTCCTCGAGCCCCTCCTCCTCGAGCCCCCTCCTCGAGCCTCCTCCTCCCCCTCGAGCCCCTCCCTCCTCGAGTCCCTCCTCCTCAGCGGAGCCCCGAGGAGGAGGAGAGGCCGACCCCGCCCCGTGGGGGAGAGCTCGGGCGTCCGCCTGCCGCGGCGCCTCTGGAGGTGCCCGCTGGACCTCCTGAGCAGGGTCGGGCGGACGCCTGCACCAACTGCAGAGGAGTTGTTTTTTGAATACATAGGATCGTTTTAACCATATAGGATGCATCGTTGGTTTTAATACTAAGTCCCTGCATGTTTAATACATGATGCGCACGCGGAGCATGTCTTTAAAAACGGCACCCACTATAGCGTGGCCTGGGCCCCAGTGGCCGATGGGCCCGCCAAGATGGGGACATCGGCTCTGCCCTTCGGGTCTCAGGGGCCCATGCCCTGTCCCGGGGTGTGCGGTGCTGGGGCTTCGATGCGATCCACCGATGGGGATATGGGCATCGGACACGACGACTCTCTCTCTCTCGTGCTTCATGGCAGGTCCAGGGTACCCCGTGCGCCTCGCTGTGACGACAGGGTCGCGACCATCACGCGAAAGGCTCGGGGGAATACAGCAACAGCAACACCACCACCACCACCACCACCAACAACAACAACAACAACAACAACCACAGCACCAGCAACAACAGCACCAACCACAACAACACCCAAAACAACAACAACCACATCAACCACAACCACAACCACAACCACACCAACCACAACAACAACAACAACAACAACAACAACAACAACCACACCACCACCACCACCACCAACAACAACAACAACACCGACACCAACAACAACCACACCAACAACAACACTAGTAACAACACAACTCACAACAACGACAACGACAACGACGACGACAACAACAACAACAACAATTACTAGCACGTGGGGACACTCCGTTCTCACCAGTGCCAGGGTTTTCATAGGAGGCGGGCAATACCCCCACTTTGTGGGGGGGCCGGTTCAAGCTCTACCAAATTTCCAAACGACTCTTCGCCACCACCCACACCCAGCTTCCCGCCCTATGACGTTCGGACACTTCACTTCGTGGCATGCGGACGACCGTGGCTACTATTCAGGGCCCCGCGGCCGACGACGACGGCGTGCGCGCGCGAAGAAAAAACGAATGTGTCCCGCATGGTATTATTTGACAGGGATGATGGCCCTGGCAGGTGCGCAACCGTTGTTGCAGAAGTTCGAAAAAGTTGCTCGCAAAAGCCCGTTTGACAGAAATGTTTAAAAAGTGTTGGGTTTCCTACGAATCCGCAAGAGCGCGCGGGATGAATTTTGACAATTTTTTTTGAAAAACCATTGGTTTTTTGATGTTTTTATGTTAAAATCGCTACGAAAACTAAGGTTTTGGAAGGATTTCGTCTTGCGCGCGCGAATGTCCACTTTACCTTATTTGTTGCAAGGGGTTCTTGAAGTTTGGATATGTTAGAACAAGAAATGTCCACTTTAGCTTATTTTTTGCAAGGGAAAACCGATCGTAACAACACAACCGGATCCGGACCAACCCGTTTTGCCTGAGACTTCCTCACGAAAATGATGAAAACGTGGCTGCGGCCTAGGCGCGGCGGGGGGGTCGTGCACCAGGGGCCCCAACAATAATTATTCTTTAGAAGTAATAATGTTCAACAACAACAACAACAACAACAACAACAATCATTTTACCCGAACGCGTGGTGTTCTCCCCAGTGCCAGGGTTTTCATACGACACCAGGCAATACCCCCACTTCGTGGGGGGGCATTACAAGCTCTACCAAATATCCAAACGACTCTTCGCGACCACCCAAACCCAGCTTCCCGCCCTATGACGTTGGGACACTTCACTTCGTGGCGTGCGGACGACCGTGGCTACTACACTGGCGTGGGGTACACACCCACAGAACTTGGTCACTTATTCGGGGCGCGCATGTGCCCAGCATGGTGCAATTGTGCCATACAATACATAATACAGAGAGACGAATGTGTCCCGCATGGTATTATTTGACAGGGATGATGGCCCTGGCAGGTGCGCAACCGTTGTCGCAGAAGTTCGAAAAAGTTGCTCGCAAAAGCCCGTTTGACAGAAATGTTTAAAAAGTGTTGGTTTTCCTACGAATCCGCAAGAGCGCGCGGGATGAGATTTTGACATTTTTTTGTTGAAAAACCATTGGTTTTTTGATGTTTTTATGTTAAAATCGCTCCGAACACTAAGCTTTTGGAAGGATTTCGTCTTGCGCGCGCGAATGTCCACTTTACCTTATTTTTTGCAAGGGATTCTTGAAATTTGATTATATTAGAACAAGAAATGTCATTTTATAGTGTTTTTTGCAAGGGAAAGCGGGGGGGAACAAAACAACCGGATCTTGATCACCTCGAATTACCTGAGGCTTCCTCACGAAAATGATGAAAACGTGGCTGCGGCCTAGGCGCGGCGGGGGGGGCGTGCACCAGGGGGCCCAACAATAATTATTCTTTAGAATTAATAATGTTCAACAACAACAACAACAACAATAACAACAACAACAACGACAACAACAACACCACCACCGACCACAACAACAACACAAACACCAACAACAATAACCACAGCAACCCCCTGCAGGCTGTGCCTTTAAGAACCCGTTCGCGGCGTCAAACAACGCACAGCGCAGACGGAACAATAATATACGCATCTCGCCATCCCTCGGACACCCATTCCACGTGCATGTGTTCGGATTCGTACATTTCTTGTTCGCACGATGATCCAAGATGCCCCTCGATGACCCTCGCCAAAAAGTTGCACACGCTACTCGAGAATCCCCATTACTCTGGGCCACAACCAGGCCCGTGTCATACCACCTGGCTGTTACCTGGGGAGGCCCAAGCGCGAAGCATGCTGCATCGCGGTGAAAAGTGGCTACTGGGCGGCGGTGAGCGTTGCTTATGATAATGGGTTGAGCGTGTGTGTGTCGGAGACTTGTGTGCTGGACAGGAGGGTACGGGAGGCAAGGAGTTGATAGGTCGTACTACGAGTGGGCCCGCTACATCGCAGTACGTCTGAGTATGAGTGAGGTGGACATGAGTGGATCTGCGTACGTAGGAGTGAATCTGAGGGTACGGGGGTGGGGCAATGTATGAGCAGCACTGAGTAGGAGTGAAAATGCTACTCAGTGGGTCTGAAGCGAGTCTGGGTATGAGGTATGAATGCGTCTGAGTGCGAATGAACCTGAATGTGCTGTTTCCCGTGAATATGGAACAGAAGTTGAATGGAAGTAAACCTGAGTACGGGATAGTCTGGGTATGAGTGCGCATTGAGAGATGATGAGTCTGAGCATGAGCGGATCTGAGTAGAACTGTGTGACGAAGGTTGGGGGGTCTGGGTCACCGGGTTCGTGTCGTTCGTGTGCTCACTCCCCGCATCTCCCGCCGCCTGCCTCGTCTCAGGAGAGGCCAGTGCGCGCAAGCTCAGACTCTGTCGAACCCAGGCTCTTCTCAGACCCAGGGCTCGCTTGTGCCCAGTCTCACTCACCCAGACCACATTTGTTCAGACTGACCCACGCTCAGACTCATCCACATCCACACTGAGACCCACTCTCAATCAGCTCCGCTCACACTCCCACGATGCGAGTGTCTCGCAACGTCGACGCCCAAAGGTCTGCAGCCCCTTCCCCGGGACCGGCTTTTCCCACCCAGGGCCGGTCCCGGGGCGCGGCGAGGGCCCCCGGAGGCAGAGCACGGCGACAGACCTCCCGGCGCGATTCTGTCCACAACGCGAGGGGTCCGGGTATGAGGATACGCTGGGCTCGTGTCGTGCCAACCCGGGCGTTTTGGTTTCTGACACCGGGCTGGATCGTTCAACCTAGAACCATCGGCCGTTTCCGAAACGTTCGGTCGTTCAGCATCGAGCGAGTATGGGTCGCTGGCGGCGTTCGACGTCGAGCGCCGGCGGCGGGGTCGCCGCCGGTCGACACGACGTGAACCTACCGTGCGTGGAGCACACTGGGCACCAACGCTCGGGAGCGGCCAAGAGGGGGGTGTCCAAGAGGCGGGGGTGCAAATCATGGCCGGCGGCATGTGCGCGGCCCAGCGGGGGGGCCAGGGACGTACTGAAACAAGAAGGGGCGCCATGAAATCTGAGGAAATATCATGGCCCGCGCCATGATATCCACCCCCCCCTAGTCATCACCCCCCTCTTTGCCGCCCCCGACCAGCGCGCGGGCTCGCGCGCAAGCCCCCCGCCGGGGCCCTCTGCGAGCGCCGCCGCCACGCGGCTGCGGGCCCCCATGGCCGCGAGCCTCGCGGCGATGCAGGCGGCGGCCGCCTGCTGCCGGGGAGGGCGGGCGCGCGGCACACGGCACGACCGAGCGTGCTTGAGACCTACCTCCCCCTCCTCCTCCTCCCCCTCCTCCTCCTCCCCCTCCTCCTCCCCCTCCTCCTCCCCCTCCTCCTCATCATCCCCCTCCTCCTCCTCCTCCTCCTCCTCCTCCTCCTCCTCCTCCTCCTCCTCCTCCCCCTCCCCCCAGGAGGAGGAGGAGGAGGAGGAGGAGGAGGAGGAGGGGGAGGACGCCAGCAGTCCCCCCACATCGATGCTGGCCAAGCCGATTCTCGGCCCCAGATCAGCATGTCTCCGGGGAGCGCACTGCCAGCATGGAGTGACTTCGGCGAGGTGATGAGAGTGGGGAGCTGCTTGACGTCTCTTGCTCCAAGAAATCCGCGTCGCTCCAGCTGGGAAGGATACCACCTCACGGTGGCCTACTCTGAAGGGGCCCCAGGACACACAAGTAAATACACACAAATAAAACTATTCCCCATTCTCAGATGTTCTGGGCTTTTGTCTTCCCCACCACTTCCCATATTTTCCCATATTCTCATGGGAATCGACGATTCATTGTGTCTGTGTGTTTTGTCCACTCCTGTTACTCTGCCCGCCACCGAGAACACCAAGCAATTCTGGGCGATCCACGGGACCATGCGCAGCTCCCCGAGGATGGTCGATTCTTCCAGCCGGGCGGCGGACAGAGCCACAGCCACCGGAAAAAAAAAGGTCTCCTACGGGTCCCAGCTGCCCCCCAGTCCCCACGCAAGCGAATTACAGTCATCGGCCTGACCTAAGGAACGATAAATAAGGAACGAAGCCCCTTCTTCATCCCAAGGAATAACGCATAAGGAACGATGAATAACAAATAACGCATAAGGAACTGTAAATAACGCATGTAAAACCTAAGGAACGACCGAGCCCCTTTTGAAAAGTAAGTGTTCCTTATTCAAGCAGCTCACTGTAGCCCTCCCTCCGATAGAAGAAGAAAAAACGGCATAAACATAAACTCTCAACGGCCCGCGCGGATTCAGTGGATCTGCTCCAGGCCCCCCTCCCTGGCGCGCGGAGAGGGGCGGCGTCGGAGGCGCCGCCGGGGGGGCCCAGCTGGACCTTCTGAACCAGACAGCTGTTCATGCCGTTTTCTCTTCCCCGATCCGAACTGGACGAGACGCAAGGGGGCGAGGATAGGAGGACACGCCTTTCTTGACACATCGCCACTTGTCGTTTGGCCGCGAGTGAGGGGGGGAGGTGAGAAGGAGAAGGCCTTCTGAGAAGGCGGCGGGCTCTCTCAGAAATCTTCTGAGAAACACTCGCACCTTCTGAAACATCTTCTGCGTCTTCGGGGAAGACTTCGAAAACACATCAGAATGCCCGAGAACATTCGAGCCTTCTGACAAGGCCCGCCACTTCTAATTTCCTCCTGGGCGGAAGGAAAACGAAATGCGTCTGCACTGGCTCTGCCCGCCCCTGCCCGTGCCGAGACCGGGGGAGCTATTTCTGTCCTGGGAGGGCGGGACTGAGCGAGCGAGACGGGCTTGCGGCTTGTGGGCAGCTTGGCCCCTCCCCCTGCCACCTCCCCTGGGACTGGACTAGGGCGGGCCGAACCAATAGAGGACCCAAGATGGCCCGACATGGCTCCGCGAAGGCGCTAGAGTGCCCAAGATGTGCTCCAATATGGGACAAGATGGCTCAGATGGCTCCAAGAATTCTTCCAGTGGCCACGGAGCGTCTCAAGGTTGCTCCCGAGGGCACCAAAGCCCTCCCAGAACCCAAAGAACAGCAGATGGTCTTGTTCGCTTGCGATGGGCTTCTTGAGGCATCAAGATAGCTCCAACATAGCCCAAGAAAGCCCAGGGAGGGGCTCAAGACAAGACAAGACAAAACATAAGCCCGCGTCAAGACACCTACGAGGGTGCGGCGGGAGGGCGCTGGGGCGCTGGGCATTAAGGGCCGGGCATTAGGAGCCGGGGTCGGGAGCTGGAGTCGGAAAGTTAGTTGGGAGGGGCTCAAGAAGGGTCCAAAACGGCTCGAGAGCGCCCCAGGGGCGCCCTGAGCGGGTCCCAGGAGGCGCCTTCTCGGACTCCAGAGGGGCAGCCGCATTAGGGAACCCCGTCTTTGTACTCAAATGCATTGCACGAGCAATGACTACCTACCAGACCGCCCCAACCCAACCCGAAGACCCGAATTTCGGATTGAAGGGGGGGTAGGGGCCTCACATGTGTTTTTGTCAGTGTTCCCCGACACCCCCCCTCCACTGGGAATGGAGGACAAATTGGGGTTGGGTTGGGATGGTTAGATGGGCGGTGGAACAATCTGTTTGTCAGGGATCGTGGCAGTTCGGGGCTTTTCTAGAACGCGGCTGGCTCAACATGTTTCCAAGAAGGCTCTGAATAGCCAAAGGCGGCTTCAAAAACGAGCAAGACAGCTCAAGATCGCTCAAGATGGCTTCCGACATGCTTCAAGATGTGCCAAGACAGCATCAAGACGGCACCAGGTGCCCTCGGGGCCTCCCAATGACGCCCCCGGGAGGCTCCAACCCTTCGAAAACCAACAGGGAGTCGAGATGCTGCTTCCAGTGGGCTGTTCAAGCCCCGAGGTGGCTCCAAGATGGCCCAAGCGAGCCCCAGGAGGGACCCAAGAGAGCTCCAGGAGCGCCAACGTAGGAGGCGATCAGGGGCGATCCCAAACAAGGAGCACCGAGACAAGACGCCTTTGGTCAACGCCATCCAAGGTGGCCCCAAGGTGGCCCCAAGGAGGACCCAAGGCGAGCAACGCAGGCCTCCAACATGCAGTACGCCAAAAGGGCCCCAAGGAAGCTGCGACACAAACTCCCACATCGAACTATCCTGGGGGCCGATCCCGAACTTCGTTTTGGCCGCGAGCTTCGGTTTGACGTCTGCCTCCCACTATTGCTCCACTGCTTGCTCCTCTACGTCCCTGACAAGTGCAGCTCGCCAGTGCATCGCAGAGCATTCATCGGCGACAGGGCGAGTTGATACAACGGCAACTCAAAATCGGTCACTGGACCCCTCCGGGATCCAAACGCACCAGTTTTCCGAGCTGCGTCCAGCCGTGGCGACGAGGGGCGTCCCCGAAGGCTAACTACAGCAGTCTCAGCTCGCCATCCTCTGGGCAAACAATAAGAATGCCTGGGTTCCTACTGACTCAACTTGAAAACGCAGGCTGCGCAGGGGGCTAGAGACCTCCAGGATGGGGTCGGGGCAGATGGGGTCGGACGATCGCGCCGAATCGTCGATGCATCACCGATGCACCGGCGATGCTTCGGCGATCGCAGCGAGCCGCACCGGCTAATGCATCGAAAAAGCGGCGCGACCCTTCGACCCCACCTGCTCAGCCCCCCCTTTGACAAGCCTCGAATGGCACCGCTACCGCTACTCCAGAGACCTCTCCCAGAGTGCGTTCTGACAGAATTAGGCCGGACACGTCCTCCTGCAGGCGGAATTTTGGCGAATAATGAAGCATAGTCATACAATTCTCCAACATAGTTATGAACTAGTCGAACAATCGTCCCCATACTATTTCTACATTTTTTTGAATAGCCCTCCTGCAGAGGGACATGCCAGACTTCAGACCCGAATTCCGAAGTGAGTCCCGCAGTGGCGACGAGGGCCTCCCGGGAGGCCCAGAACGGGGCGGGCTCCCGGAAACTGCTCTCTTGATGTTTCGGGTAACGGCTGTTACCTCGGGGGGGGGGGGCCGGCGGGTAACGGTAACGGCGGCCGCGGCGTGCGCCCGCCAGGGTGCGTCCACGCCATCGGCACATCAATTGCCAGACCTGCTGAGAGGAGGGGGGTCCGCTCTCCACCCCTAAAAAACGTACGATCGTTAGCGTCACCCCGGGGAGGGGGGGCGGGGGTTGGGGCCCGGGTAACAAGCGTTACCCGCCAGAGGAAAACAACAACAACAAAAAAACGCTCTCACGAGAGGAGGGCGGCGACATCGGCGCCCCTTCCTGCTCCTCCGAGCAGGGGGGGCGCCTTCCGGGCCGCGACCTCCCGCGCGCCCTCCGCGGCCGCGACCTGGGCAAGACGGGGGGGAGAATGAGAAGGACGACGAGGAGGAGGAGGAGCAGGAGGAGGACGAGGAGGAGGTGGAGGAGGAGGAGGAGCGAGGAGGGAGGAGGGAGGAGTAGGAATAGAAGGGAGGAGGCGGAGGAGGCGGGAGGAGGATTAGGTGGAGGAAGGAGGAAGGAGGAGAAGCAGCTGGCCTTCAGCGCGCAAGTGGCCGCCGCCGCCGCCGCCCCGCCGTCCACGCGGGCGGGCTCCGGGCGTGCTGCCTGCGGGCGGCGGCGGCGGCCCTGCGAGCACTCTCCGCCATCGTCGTCGTCGTCCTCGGGTGGGGCTCGTATCCGTAGCTGCGGCCTCGCGGGCTGGGCCACTGGGCCGCGACTCCGCGGATACAGGGGCGTTTTTGTCGTGGATTCCCTGCGCGAGACGTGTACCCGGAATCCAGACCGCAAGGGCGTAGATATGGATTGAGTAGGGATGGGGGTCAGGTCCACAGAACACCCCAAACGGACGTTAAGGGGCGCAAGCAACTTGTTTTATCAAGCTAAACTTCATGCACCACACCTGGCGTCAAGCCAAAACTTTAGACATAAACGAACTCTTGGACTTTGCATATATTCGTCGGCATAACTGGCGAGGCGTTTGACAACCTTGACGCCCCTTGTTTGGTGGTACTGCAGATCGGACCTGATCAAGATATGGATGCGTTCGCCGCTCGCGAGGAACGAACAAAAAAAATCAGCTCGCGCAGCTGGTTTCCATGGTGTCCCCAGACGGGAGCGCCTGGCGGCGAGGTCGAAACCAGCCGCTCGCATCGTTCCCCCTTTCCCGATCCCACCGGCCCGACCTTCGGGCGGAAGTTAACGGGGGGACCAGTGAACGCGGGGGAAGCCTGGGCGTATGAAAGTGGCCCCAATGGGCCCATCCTTACCCCACTTGTTCCCCACTCCCCTCCTCAACCCCCTCCCTGTCTCATCGCTGCGGGTGACAGGCTAGACCCGCGCCGATCGCGGCACGGGATTCATCAACCAACGACGTGAAATACTGGACACGTTGTGTTTATGAGGAGTGGCACAACTGCCTTCCACAAAAACCTGATTCGGGCGCACCCTAACGTGGATTGCGGATCTGTCGATATGGCGTGGGCGCCAGATCCACGGACCCCAAAAAGCAATGCTAAAACATGTGGCCAATGCCGCCTGATCGCGCCGATTCTGTACGGAAGCGGGGCCCGTCGCTGATCTAGGAGCCTTAGTCTATGTTTGCAAAGCCTCGGCTGACCTCTCCGTCCTCTCCCTCCTCCCCTGCCCCCGTTCCCCCTCGGGCGCGGCCACCCCAACCGCTTCCGTGACGATCTCCCTCGCTGCCAGAGGGGCAGAAAGGGGGGGGCAGGGGTGGTCGGTCAGCCGGAGATCGTCTACAGCTGCGATCGAAAACAGGACACCCCGGAAGGACGCAACACTCTTCCGAGGACAACGTGGCACAAGCAAGCCCGAGGAAGCGAAGTATCGGGGAGACGTAAGACCCGGGTACGGGGGACTCGGAAATCCCCGACGAGGTCGTCAAAAAAATACGAGGCCGAGCCTGCATTTTGACGAGGCCTCCCGCTGCAGACATCCCACGAAACTCCTCCTCGTCAAAATCCGAGTCGCGGTCGTCAAAAAACGATGGCGAACCCGAGTCCCGGCAAACCCGGGTCTTACGCTCCCCCGAAAGTATACAGAAGGCCAGGATTCGGGGCAACAGGGAGGCGTCCCTGGTTTTGCAAGGTCGACCTGTTCACCGGCCGCGACTGCAAACCCAAACCCCCGACGTCATATGTTTCGCAACGTCGATCCCAAAAGGTCTGGAGACCTTGCCTGGTACCCATTTTTCATCCTGAATCGTTGTATGACAGTCCTGGGGCCCGGTACGGGCCCCAGGAGGCCGAACATAGCGAAAAACCTCCCGTCGTGATTTTTGTTCACAACGCGAGCGGGTCTGGGAACCGTCCCCGCACCTCCGCCCCCCATCGTCGAGAAGCCGCGAGCATCACAAGGACGGAAACCTGCTGCGAAAGCGGGGAGAGACCGAGCGGAGGCCACCGCTCCGAAGCTCACTGCTCGGCTGACGAAAAAGTGCCCCGGATGTGGCAATGCGCCACCGATGGCTCCTCCCAGGATCCAGGCCAGGCCACTCTGAAGATCCAGCCGCGGTGTGTGCACCCTCATGGCCTGGCCAAGAAGCACATCGACCGATCCTGGGCCAAGCATTGGTGTATAGGCAGCAACCTCCGACAACGAGTCGCGCGAATGCAGACTCGATGCCCGCTGAGGCTCCTGTGTGCAGAAAATGCGCCAGGCATCAGTCTGGCGGGATGGTGCCAGTGTGGAACTACGGTGCAACACTTGTTTTATCAGCACGAAGGAGCCCAGCGGCAAGGTGAGGAGACGACCGAGGTGCAACACACAGTCGACGCTGGCGCCCCCGCCTGATCCACCGCCGTGATCTCCGGCCGGAGCTCCAGCTTCGGAGTTGCCAATTCCGTCGAGTTGCAGGAGGACGCAAAGAGGATGGTCCCGGCCTCGCGCGAGGAGAGGCAGAAAGGGCACGAACCAGCTCATGAGGTTCTGAGGAATGCCCCGTGCAACGAATGAATCATGCGGCTAGGCAGGGAGAGTCGGGCTTGATACGAATCGGCACATAGAGAGCTCGAGAAGGCGTGGGGCACGAAATCCTGTAACATGAGAGCTTCGACTCAAGGCCAAACTCCCATTGAGCGCATCATGAAACATACAGAACTATGATTATGTCGGGCGTGTCCCCCTACAGGGGGATTTTCGAAAACGTCAGAAAAATACACCGAAAAAGTCAAAACATACTAAAAACAAATATCCCCAGACTGTTTTTGGACTATGTTTTGATTATGTTTAGGGTATTTTTTATTTTCCGTCGAAAATCCCCCTGTAGGGGGACAGGCCCGACTTAAAACTGTGAACCAACGCTGGCCGAACGGTGCCAAACCCCTCACAGCATAGAACTGCCAGAAAGGGGAAACGCCTTTGGAATCGCCATTGGAGATCGCACCAGTGTGCAGTGTGGCCGTCGAGCGCAACACCGGAGGTTGGGGGGCGAGACCCAAGTGAAACGGAGCCCCCAATCATAGGGGGCCACAAGCAAACCCTACCCCTACCCCCCACGATTCTTGAGGGTGAGGGTGGGGTTCACTTCGCTCGGGAGCTCCCGAGCGAAGTGAACCCCACCCTCCCCCTCAAGAATCGTGGGGGGTAGGGGTAGGGTTCGCACGTGGCCCCCTACAATCAGGAGATCAACTTTGCATCAGTCCGTGCCGCGCGTGCGGGTGACACGAGACTGCAAAGCAGCTGGCGGCACCCCGCAAAGTCGGGGTGCCAGGTAGCGGCCGCGGCCGCGCCTGTCTGCACTGCTTGCTGCTGCTGCTGCCTCTCGTCTTGTTCTTCCCCCCCCTGCTGCTGTCCTCTCCTCTCCTCAGCCACGGGGCGCCCACTCGAGCTTGTAAAAAGTGTCCCCCTGCACGCGGATTTGGGAGGAAAAGCATCGAATAGTCAAACAATATGCAAGAAAATACTAAAATAGTACAAACATCGTTCCCAGACTATTTTTGACTATTTTGGAATCAGAGTGAGGGGGCCGAGCGATCATTCATTGTCCCTGGGTGCGTGGCTGAAAGGGGGATCCGTGGTGGGGATTCTGCCTGTTACTGTTGTCGTCGTCCCCCCCGCGACCCGCCCGCGACCCACCCGCGACCCACCCGCGACCCACCCCGCGACCCACCCCGCGACCCCCCCGCGACCCACCCGCGACCCACCCCGCGACCCACCCCGCGACCCACCCCGCGACCCACCCCGCGACCCTCTCCGCGACCCACCCGCAACCCATACACGACCTACCCGCGACCCGGCCCGCGACCCGGCCCGCGACCCACCCGCGACCCACCCGCGACCCACCCGCAACCCACCCCCGCGATCCACCCACATTGCTTTCACGAAAAAATCGGCGCCTGCGGCGGGCTCGCTGCATAACGTGCAGAAAAGTGAGGCGCCTGCGGCAGGCTTCTGCAGGGCCTCGCAGACTGACGACGTTCTCGCCGCCCCCTCACTCTCGGGAGCGGCCAAGAGGGGGGTGTTCAAGAGGGGGGGGTGCAAATCATGACCGGCGGCATGTGCGCGGCCCAGCGGGGGGGCCTGGGACGTAATGAAATAAGAAGAGGCGCCACGAGATCTGAGGAAAAATCATAGCCCACGCCATGATAGCCACCCCCCCCTAGTCATCACCCCCCTCTTTTCTGCCCCCGATGTGACCCAGCAATGCCAAGAACAATCATCGATGCCCCGCCCGCCGGGCCGTGCGCGAGAGCTGCTCCCCGCATGGGGTCCCCCGGAAGGGAGGTCCCGCGACGGTCCTCCGCGGCTGCCCCGTGTGGCTCCGGTGGCTGTGGCCCCGCCGTTCGCCCCGTGGCGGTCCCGCGGCGGTCCTGCAACGGATGAAGGGGCCCAGGGACACACAAATACATACACACAAATGCAAGGACTCCCCATGTTTTCCCAGATGTTCTGGCTTTCGTCTCCCCCCCCATGGTCCATATCTTCCCAGGTTTCCCGGGGAATCGACGATTACTTGTGTCTGTGTTCTGTTTCCCCAAGCTGTCCCGCGGCTGCCCAGCTGCTTTCCTGCAATAGTCCTACGTTTTGCAGTGGTCGTCCTGCGGTTGCCCCTTGGCTGTCAAACAGCTGTCCCGTGGATGATTCATCTGGCTGCCCCGTGGCTCAACCCTGGTTGTCCCGCGATTGTCCCGTGAAGGTCCCGCGGTTGTCCCGTGTGTGTCTCGTGGATGCCCGTGGTCTTCCAGTGGTTGTCCGGTGGTTGTCCCGTGGTTCCGTGTCCCATAATTGTCCCGTGGTTTTGTCGGGCGGTTGTGCAGTCAACCCGTATAGTAAGGATGCGCGATAAGGATATCAGGGCCTTGGAAAGCCATGTTGACGTTTCTCGAGTGGGGCTGGTCAGAGAAAGCTGCCAGGGATGGGCCCACTTTGGCATGGATGCAAGGGTAACCTTGGAAACCTCCCACATCCTTACTGTGCGGCTGTACCGCGGTTGTACCAAAGTTGTACTGGCGCGGTCTCGCGGTTGTCCCATTGCTGTCCCGCCCTGATGCAGGTATCGACGAGCCTTGAGTTCGATAGATGGATGCCTCCGAGATCAAATGGTACATGGGCAGTCGGGCATAGTGAGCCCGCATTATTGGTAGTTTTAGGTCGGGCATGTCCCCCTACAGACGGATTATGGTCGAATCCTAAAAATGATCAAAACATCGTCTGCAGACTATTTTTCGACTATTTTCGACTATCCCTCCTGCAGAGGGACATGCCCGACTTCATGGCAGTTGGATCGGGAGATACATCGGCTTACGCGCAGAGGGCGGCCCTGTGGCAGGAGTGGCCTCCGGTGCACGTCGCATCGCGCGCAGTCCTCTGGGGGCCCCTTCGGTGTGCCCGCGCCGGAGGTTCCTTTGGGCCGGAGTTGGGGCCAGACTTGGAGCACACTAGGGATCGGACTCGGAACGGGTTCGCCAGCTCACAGGGGGAGACGAGAGGGGGCGCGAGAGTGACGAGAGGGAGAGCGAGAGGGGGGGGGGAGGAGGACCAGGAGGGGCGAGGAGGGGCAGGAGGGAGGGCCAGGTGCGGTCCGGATGTAGGCGAGGCGGATGCTCCTTCAATGCCGCCTCCCACCTCTTCCCGCGAAGCGGGACACGGCCGCCGCGCTGCCACGCGACGCACGCCGAAGCAGGGAGAGCGACGGGCCTCTCCTGTGGTCACGGCGCGCCGCGGCCACAGGGAAGCGCTCCCCGCCAGAGAAGCCAAAAACAGCGGCCCGAACACCGGAGCCCCTCCCGAGGCCCACGAAAAGGGCCAGGCTTTTCTCCAAGGTCGCGGGGGGGGGGGGGAGGAGGAGGAGGAGGAGGAGGAGGAGGAGGGGGAGGAGGAGGAGGAGGTGGAGGAGGAGCAGCAGGAGGAGGAGGAGGAGGAGGAGGAGGAGGAAGGAGGAGGAGGAGGAGGAGGAGGAGGAGGAGGAGGAGGAGGAGGAGGAGGAGGAGGAGGAGGAGGAGGGGGGAGGAGGGGGGGGGCACAGAGGGTGGGGGTCGGGGCAGAGGTGGGGCGCGAAGGCAGATCGCTCCCAACGGCCCTTGGGGGGGAGGAGGCGCGTGATCCGGGAGCATCCAGCTGGGCCCGTTCCCCGGCCGCAGCTTGGGGCAACCATGCCTTTGTGAACCCCCGGCGGCGTGTTGCCCGTGACCTGCGAGGCCGGTATCGAGAAAGATCGAGCCACAGATGTCCGATCGGAGGGGTGACACTGATACCGACGGATTCGAAGATCATTGTCCTGTCCTGTGGCTGTCTCATGGTTGTCCAATGGTTGTACCGTGCCCAACGTTGTCCCGCGGTTGTCCAACGCTTTTCCTTGGCTGTGCCGTGGTTGGTTGGTCCGTGATTGTCCTTTCGTTGTCGCTTCGTTGTTGCCCGTGCATGTCCTGTCGTTGTCCTGCGGTTGTTCCACGGGCACCTCACCCTTAAAAAGATAGGGAAGCTGGTCAATGCAGAATGTGTGGGATCAGTCGACTGAGCGATCGTGATAAAAGAATAGTGGCCAGGATACACAGTGGGAGCGACACATACCGGTGGATAGCGCAATGGACAGACAATTGCGACAGTAAGATCGTCGGGTATATTGACTGGCATTGGAGGATTGCTGAAGCGCGCGTGGAGCACGTGGCGCATCTGGCGAACCAAGCGTGCTGCCTAGCTTGGGCCTGAGGGGCGCCTGGTGCGCGCGGTGCGCCTGGGACGCATGGCGCACCTCGCCCCAGCGTCGCGTGCCTGGGGCCTGTATTGGTTACCGCTAGCTGTGAGTCCAAAAACGCCCGCGGAATAAGCTGAGATCCGGGTACTGCCTATGTGTTGGGAGAGCGGAAGCTGAAGAACGTAGTTTGCGTCTGGGGATGTGCTTAACCCCTGAACCCTAAACCCAGACAGCTCATCAAGCCCCCCAAAGAGGCCCCAAATTCGCCTAAGAAGACCAAATATCGCCCAGGAGCATCCTCGCAACACAGGCGTCGCATATCCCGTTCCTCTTGGACCGTTGCATGTGCATACATGTATACTACAGACATTGCCTCTATCTTCACCTGTAAGCCTCCAGGCCTGGACGACGATGCATTTTTTCCTCGTTGGCACTGCGGGTGCTTACAGAGGCAGCAAGTCCTGCCATGGCGCGCCAACACTAAACACACGGCAAGGCCGACCACGGCCTGGGCGGTCATGTGACCACGGAATATGGAACACACGCATGTCCTGCTCTGTTCCATCTGGCTCAAGTCCCATACTCTCGAAAACTAACCGAGGCTGGCATGCTCACTCTTGCTGTCCTTGTCTCATCCGCTCCTCCTCTTTGCGCAAACGACTCGAATCAGCGCAGAGTTCCAACACGAACGCAGCATGCTGCTCCAGCAAGAGCGCGCAAACCAACATCAACTCAAAATTGAATGAG